ATACAGCTGGCTCTCGTTGTGCATCGCGAGGCTTTTCTTGCCGGCGATACATTAAAGTTTCGCCTCGATCGAAGAGCAAGCTATACACCACTTGTCAATGGTAGATCGAGCGGCCGTTGGTTATAGGTCGATGCTATCATATTAATCAACGAATGATCGACGGTTCGCGCGTTCAACAGCACTTCAATCATCGTTATTTGCTACACTCTCAATTGACACATTATCACTCGTGTAATTATAGCATACAATGTTTCGCGAAAGTAAGATACTTTAATTGCGCTTTTACGGAGAAACTCGTCGAGCCACTTATAATTTAGTATCGCTGCGCAGATAAACGCATCAATTGAAAATTCGCTCGTGCGGATCCACGTGTTTTTTATTCGACGTTCCGTATCTTGCCTTCTTGTAAACAAGCTCACTCGCGTCTACCGAAAAATTTCATGAAATAATACGTTTGAGATAAGAGTAGCCCCGATCTCGCTCCGCACGTAGGCAAAGGTTTTTCCACGAGACACTTGTAAACAAAACTAAATTTTGCATTTCCTGTTTGTTCGGCTTTTCGCATTTGTAGTATCATTAAATTGGATCTTTATGTAATTATAATGACTTGGGACGTACATAAAACACGACAGTATCCATTGAAGCGCGAAGGACTTTCGACGAAAGATTTCATTATTTATACTCGGCGCGTTCGTTCGCTCGGTCTTTCGATTTTATTGCAATAATCTATCAAAGCGAGCGCGGCCAAAAACGACGGAATTGAATTAATTAAACGAGATAAATTTGCCGAACTCGTAGCAAAGTGCACAGCTGCAGTGACGTTCTTCAACGAAAGCTCGAATAACCGATCGAATCCAAACATCGACGCGTCTTAATCCTAAAATTAGTCTCGCCACTATCGAAGCTATGAGCTTACTTATCCATCTATATAGAAGCGCATTGACGCTCAGTGCCCGAGTCAGCGGCGTATCGCATCTCTGGAGAATAATAACTTTGAAATTTGTCAGATTCACGCTAAGAGGCCGTAATTACCCGTTGACTTAACAAATTTTCATGATGTATCTCACTCGGAGCGAGAAGACGAAGTGGATGTATACAAGATATAGAGTGTAGCCGAAGAAAGTTAGCGCAGCGGCTCGCTGCGTGTCGATGGTGTGTGCGTGCATGTGTATGTGTGTGTATATTATATATAGGATACGCACACGTGTGCACGCGATAGCTTCCCTCGCGCGCATATTCGCCCCGACTCTATTTCGGACTCGGTGCTGCTCCGCGCCGCTCTCCATCTTATTGCTCTCTTGGCTTTTCGTTGCGCGTTTATTGCCGTGCAAGCGGGCGCGCGAGCGGCAGTTCTAGCCGCGATCTCCTCAGTGTTAAATAGTCCGAGTAGTGCCGAGAATCGTGTCGCGGTGCTGCGGCCGCGCCGCTAGCGCACGCATTTCTTTTACCTTGACTCGTAGAAAATCGGCTCGCGCGGCGTCGTCGTCTTCGTCTCACCCAGCGAAGCACGCCAAAGCCCAGAAATTAGCCTCCGCGATCGCCAGTAGACGCGCGCGTTCGAGAAGCTCGGGCCAGAGTGCAGCTCGCTGCTATCTCTTACCGACTCTTTCTCCGACCTGATCTTTCGACCTGTGTCGTGTGCCTACTGTGTGTCGAGTTCGGACCATCGAAATTCCTCCCAAATGTGGAAAAATACCTTCGATGACATCGCCTACTACAATTACCGTAACAACAGTTACAACAACAATAATAAAGATCTCGGCGAGGTTCTAACGTCTTCGTCGACTGGGAACGCGGCGAAAACTTCGTCGACGACGGCAGCGACTATAAAGACCAAGTCAAGCACGAGCACGACGGCGAGGAATAAGAGCAAAACGAGGTTCAAAACCACGACAACAACGGGCGAACGCGTGCGTTGCTCGTGCATTCGATGTCGCGCTGCGAAACAGGCCAAGCGCGAATCAAGCGCCTTTCCAGAAATATCGCGCTCGAAAAGTACCAGCAGTAATAGCAGCAGTGACGAAGATCAAGCTGACGACGACGACGACGACGACGAAGAAGACGAAGAGGAAGAAGAAGAAGAAACGAAGGAGAAAAAAACAAAGTCGATTATAAACATGGCGAGACAAGACTTGCAAGTACCTGCGTCCATGCAAATAGCATACCGCACGAATTTGAGACATCCGCTGCCTCAGCAACAACAACAACAGCAGCAGCAGCAAAGGCAAGAAGATAGTGCATGGTGGCCGTGCCAAGCCTGGGAGGATTGGCTGCAGAGAGCCGTCGATGCGCACCATCAGGGCATGAATAAATTGCACTCGTTAATCGAGGTATGATTCGTGAACTTGCTGAGCTTTCGTCACTCGCGATCGTCTCGAAATTACCCTGTACTTGTCCGTGTGTATGAAAAATCGGATGAGTAAGAAAGCGTAATCAAACGTTTCAATATTGACTTCTGTCCGTAAATAACTCTTCATCTTACATCAAGATTCGTGAAACAGTCGTATAAACTAAAACTCATCGGTTTATGCTAACTATTAACAGTACTTAATTGCACATTGCTTTAGCCCATGTACATTACGATTAATCCTTTAGAAAGAAGTAAAAATTGCAAAAGCCATCCGCACCATGACTTCCGGGTGTTACTCTGCGCACCGCTGCACGAAACATCTGCGAATAATAGTGGAGGATCGATTTGCTTCTCATCGCGCATCTATGACCTGCGACAATATTGTCACTGGCCTCAGATGATTGGTGTGAGCGACCACTAGAGCGCTCAATTTTCGTTCGAAACGCGTGCTTAGAACGAGCTCGAAGTGCAACACCATCTGTAGCCGAAGACACAGTATTAACGGGTTCGCTTTAACAGATAGTTAGAGTAACGGCAACACTTTCATTGGAATGAGTGCTTTGAATCGATTACTTTTTTATTACAGGAACATTTATTTATCGATTTACATTACGAAATTAGTTAAAATTGGAAACTTTCATAAAATTATCTTGCGCTTTGTAAGCTAGAAAGAGGTCGATAAAGTAGATCGAAGGCAGTTGAATTTTCTACAGCGATTCTTTATCCATCAGAAACTTCTTGTGCGAGAGCTGCTAAAGTCGCGCACGCATTTAACGTCACTGGCCGATGTATCATTTTCAACTTCGCGTCGTGACCACAGGCGCTTTGGTAAACAAAAGTCGCGTAATTTTGTTGCTCGAGCGAGTAGCCTTTCATTCTGAACTTGCAAGCTCCTTCACTCCGTATAGCGATTCGCTTGGCTGACTTAACGATGCCATTTACGAGTGTCCGACACTCGAGACGGCTTTTAACAAAGCTTGCTTTGTCCTGCGCTGGTTTTATGATATTTCATCAATTCGCGCCGTTGCACTTATCAAAGTCATTTGGGTAGCGATGCGTTGAGCAGCAGCAGCAGTAGCAGCAGCCGCTCTACTTTTTTCTCCTCGACGAGCTCGTACGTACGCGAGCGCGAGCATGTGTGTGCGTATGCGTGTGTGTTTTGTGTGTACATTTAAAACATGCAACTCTGCCAATGTCATCGACACAGAAGGCCTTAGACTCACTGCGCGCGCGGCTATAATATATTATTATAAGCATCTTTCATCGACGCTGCAGCCTGCACAGAAGCGACAGTTGCGGCTCGGGCTTGGACGTTTAAATCTAGTTTCGAGAACGATTGACCCAGTAACGATTTTGGATAGAGTAAACGAGCCGTCCCATTGCCAATATCATTAAAAGTAAACATAAACAAAGGCATTAATTGCCGATGAAACGTTGAAAACTCTACGATATATATGCGGCGCGATTGTCTACTTTTGGAAAGTCTATTTTCATCCATCAGTTTGATCTAATTGAGTGGACGAGTTTCGCTATCTCGACCGATAAGTCAATTTTCACGAAAGAATTTCGTAATTGTTCGAAGCGCGAAGAGTCAATAGGTCAAGGCGCTGCTATTGCGCAATTCGTGCGACAATTTTTGTTTTTCAGGTAAATATGACAAGAAAGATGTTCCCATAAGCCATTCCGTGGAGGGAAAAAGTTGGATTAGGTTAAATCCTCAGAGAAATTGGCCGCAAGCTCGTCGCGCGATGCTTGCGCCTAATAAATTCAGACTCGTGCTAATCGTGTAATACATAATACACATTTAATCAAGAGGGGATGGCCGTCGAGCTCATTTAAAATTAACCGACTTTTAGTAAAAGCACGAGTGTGTGTACACTAATGGCGAAGATCTTTATAGAAATAATCGTATTTTCACAGTGGACATTTCATTTTGATGAAAGTTTGCTCGGAATGGAACAAAAGCGGAAAAGAGCGAGATCGTATGTAAATAAAAGACGCAGTTTCTCCTGGTAAATTATATCATTGTCGACTTATGACTATAAAACCATATTTTGACTATGAGCCAAGAAACGTGTATACTTTCAATTATAATCGCAAGAGGTATAAATAAAAAAAAGTTATTACTTGTAAACAGGATTTTTATGCGTCGCAATCGATAGTAGATGGTATCTGATCAATCGTTCAATGATTTATTTTAACAACAAATTCGATCGATCGAAAAAGATAATTAGAAGAAAATAAAAGTTTGATTGAAAAATCGGGTTACACCCTCGCCAAAAATCTCGTCCACTCGACTGGTTTGCGTACGTCCAAGGCTATTTTTATAAGCTCTCCGATCGCATTCGTGATCGCGCTCTCTTGTCGCAAAGTTTCAGCATTTCTAATGTGTAGCCTAAATGCTATATAAACGCGACGTATCCATCGGTATTCTCGCGAAGAAAGTTTAGCGCACACGTGTTGCTGCTGCTTCTACTCGAGCTCGTATTTGTATGCACATGCGTGCGTAGGAGGAGGAAGCAGACAACGCTGCTACTGCTGCATCGACCTTGCTCTTTATGCTCACGGTTTCGTGGGAATTTCGCTACTGCTGCTTGTCTCTTTCTCTCTCTCTCTCTCTCTCTCTCTCTCTCTCTATACACTTTGGCACACTTTGCGACATGATGTTCGGTATTATCGTCTGCTCGTTTTGCAAAAAATCACTCGAAGCTGTGTCAGTTCGACGATGATGATGTTTGGGCGAGCCAGCTGATGATATTCAAAAAGAGCATCTTTGTCCGGAAATGGATGCCAACTTGTGAATCGAAGAAGAAAAAATAAATAAATCTAGAGCTGCGAAGAAAATCCATCGAACGCGCGATCCCGCTGGCGATGCGACGAGCCGCCAGCGCACAAATACGAGCTAGGCGCGTGTGCGATCAGTCGTAAAGAAATCGCCGCAATAAAGACGCGATGGGGGCGCGCGCCCGAACAGCATCAGCTCGGTCAATGCGTATTATATTTCCGTATGGCGCGTGAGTCCAAAAAAGCTCATTATAAGGCTCTGGCATACATAGAGACGCGCACACCGGCTCGTGTATATAAACTATGGCCTTCCGCCTTCTTATTCTCAATGCGTCTTTGCGTCTTGGGTCTTTCATTCTCTCTCTGTCTCTCTCGGCCTCTCTCGTTCTCGGCCCGTTGTTCGCTCCATCTGTTGCGTACATCACGTCTCTCTTGCTCTCTCAGCGAGAGAGAGAGTGAGAGACTTTTAACGAAAATGCAGTAGCAGCGGTGGCAACGGAGCAGCATCATCGGCGCGTATACGAGGCCTCTGCGTGTGTTGGCGCGCGCGCCTGCATCGGTGTGCGCGAGCCCATCTCTGTGTGCGTGTTTGGGTATTATTTTTAGTCTCTGGCAGATATTTGGCGGGGTGTATACTATTACTACTAGCGAGGCGAAGACTGGCGTGCGAGACTCGCCTCTCTCGATCTCTGTACACGCGCGCCTCTCTGTCTCTGTGTCTGTGTAGTCTTGCCGTCCGTGTGTGCGTGCGTGTGCCTTTTTCGAACGATCTCGACTACGCCACTGCTGCGTGTGCGACGAGGACCCCCTACTTGAAAAAGTCTTCAGTAACTTTCGGACGATCGGTTCGATCGGATATACTCAGAGCGTCGCGGCGTCGTCGTCCCCCAGTGTGCCTGCCTCAGTGCGTGCGTGTGTGTGAGTGGCATCGTGAACTTGTTCTACACATCGTTTTGTAATACACGAGTGAGGGAGCGAGTGAGACAAGTGCGCGTAGCGTCGTCGTCGTCACCGCCGCCGCCTCGTTCCAGTGCATTCGCGAGCCGATATGCTTGTCGCCGAGTGAAACTATGAAAATGAGCAAGGACCAGATGAAGATCAACTGACACGTTGAGAGGAGCTCTCGACTCGGCGCGACTCGCGATGCGGGTTAAAAACTGGACGAATGTCGCTCAATAAAATCAAAGGAAAATGTGTTAACATGCAACCAAAGAATGTACATATACTTGTTTATTATCTTATAAGGGCATGTATATAATTTGTACATACACGAAACGAGTCTAGTCAACCAGACGATTCTAACTCATCAAATTGTGATAAAAAATAACAAGACGAAAGTAAAATAAAGAAGAAAAGAATTATAAAGCGAAACGATAGTTCCTGTCACGTCCACGAACGACGATTACAAAGTAACTCAAGTAACACTAGGATATAGGAAGCGAAAAATTGTGTGATATATGGTACGAAATACCAAAGATTAAGCGGACAAACAAATGATGTTCATATTCGCATCGTCCCGTGACAACATGCAGTCACCACAGCAAAGCCAGCCGCAGCAGCAGCAACAGCAGCAGGCGCGCCGTAACGGCAACAATCGTTACACGCGCAGCTCGACGACCAGCATGACCCAACTGCTGAGCGACTCCTGCTCGAATCTGCTGCATCGGATCACCAATCGGGTCCGGGGGCCGTCGACGAACAACGATCGGCCCGCCTACACGAGTCTCGCGTCCAGCGCAACGGCTCCGATACACTCGACAGCCGCGTCCAACTTGGCCACGATACACTCGCCCGCCAGGCACCATAACAGACCTCAACAGCAGCCGCAGCCGCCGAATCCACATCATCGTTACGACTATCGTCAGTCGCAGCAGCTGCTCAAAGGGCCAACGGCGCCGGCATCGAGCAGTGGCAGACTAGTCGGCAGCCGACCCGGTACCGCGGTCCTGCACCACCGAGACGACTCGGCCATCGGCACGGCTCGCAGCCGACTCGAGGAAAAGTACTATCCGGGCCTGCTGTCCGACGGCAGCGGACGCAAGCGCAGCGTCGGCAGCAGCAGCAGCGGCAGCGGCGCGAGCTACCTGTCGGGCAGCAGACAGAATCTGCAGCGGCCGCACCACGAGGTCAGTCCGTTCATCAGGGAGGAGAGGACGCTGGAGCCGTCGCTGAGACGGAGCGTCATCAAGAGCCCCAGCACGATATTGCTGAGCGAGAAGGCCTACCCGTACGTGAGCAGCCCCGCGAGGAGGGACAAGACGCCCTGCGCCCACGAGAGGAGGACGCACCATCCGCGAAAGAATGCCGAGGGACGAGCCAGCGGGTACCTATTATATGCACCGACCATCTTATTGCGACTGTGAATTATGAGCGGAAGTGCGCCGATATCGTCGCTTGGATGCGCACTCGAATCTACGCCGATCTGACGCAAATACACACGTTATACGCGTGTGTTATTATTCTCTTCTGGGCTCTATCTCGTGCTATACACGATTGCGCGCGCGTTACAACACGCACACACACACACACACACACACTCACTCACGCCGGTCACTCGGCCAAAAATCGTTACTCACGCGCTTGACAGCGACGAGTATTCTTAATTAGTTGAGGATTTTGTTATTTCGTCGCGCTTGCTTTATTATTAGATCGATGATGCGCGCAATAATACCTTAGCCCGCTCTCTGGCCTAACTCTTTGGAAAACGACGTGTATGTGTGCGCGAGAGCCGCTCGCGCGCCATTTCTCAAAGCTAGGAAATTTGAAAAATTAGCGAGCATTGAAATAAACCGTCGTGCCTTCGCTTGGTAATGCAGCGCGAGATGCCAGCAAAACTATACCCGACTCGCTCTCGCGGCTTGTAAAGATAAAAAAACCGAACGAGGCTGTACGCGACACGAGTGGCTCGCTTGTGCACTTTTCGATCGCGAAGAATCTCCACCGATGCGGCCACTACTGGCTTTTCATAACGCTCTATACAATAGCGACTGTAAACAGTCAACTTTTCGCTAAAAATAATCCGCGCGAAGATGTGCGCGTGCGCGCAAACGGTGGCACGCGCTACAGAGTTTTCAATTTTTGTTGACATTGATCTTGCGTCTATATTGCCTCGCGGGCCGCGTTCGAGCTGCGGCTCTTCGTAATCCGCTACGATCCAAAAATGCTCGAAGCTATGCATTAATCAACGACATTTTCACATCTTCTCGTATATTTCTAATCCCGACATTAAAAACTCTTTGCTGCGACCAATTGGCTTGAAAAAAAGAATTGTTGGCATATTGCATCGAGCGAGAGCTTACATCATTTATTCATAATCATAACTAGCCTTTTTATATCGACTGTATACTCTTCTTTGATACAAAATGTATTCAACTCTTCTTTTAAGCGTTTGGATGTTTTTGCGAATTCAAAATGATTTTACGCTCATTCCGAAAGTATTGGAGAGCTTTCCGACATCACCAATAATTAAAATTAATCATCGCGACGGGACGAGCCAACGAACGATGAATTTATACACGCGCGCTTAACTTTGCAGAGCGGACGAATTTTCCGCGCTTCAAGGTCGCGACAATCTATTTTCACATTTTTTGATTTTGCCGCCAAAAGTTTTCGGTGAATGTTTCCGGACTTATGGGTAATTTGCGGTGGTGTTGATTAGCATCTGATAGCTGACGATTCAAAGAGATGAACATGCGACCGCATCGCGATAGATATCACGAATCAAGTCCGAGCATATTTATAGGTGTCCAAGGGTTCGTTTATAACGTGCAATCTAAATATGCGTAGCAGAGTCATTTACGCGTGACTAGAACTAATAAGGCTATTTATTTTTATAATATGCCCATTACCAAAAACATATGCACTTTTGACAAGATTTATCATTTTTGAGCGTCAAATTCAAATAGTCTGTAGAAAATAAAATGAACCAAAAAATGGATATGAAGATTAATTCAGCCTGCGAACTTCCGCTCATAATCAGTCGTCCTCAAAAAAGCTCAAATTGATATTAAAAAAATAAAACAAACAAACACAGCCAGTGCAACAGTCACAGCGCAAGCACCGATCCATATTTCGTTTCGGCCGAGAAGTATGCCGCTCTTCGATCGAGCTTGCAGCACTCGGACAGTATGAGACGCCGTGGCCGACACAAGTCCGGTCACGCGGATTCGAGTCAAACGGGGTCGCATCAACAGCAGCAGCATCAGCAGACCGGGCGGCCCTGGCCGCGCAGCCGTCAGGGCAAGAGCGAGCAGCCCAGCGCGAGAAGGCGGCAGTCGTCGACGAGCTCCAACGACCCCGAAAAAACGCCGATGCTGCCGACCGCGGAATCGCCGATCAGCGAAAAACAGGAGCAGCCATCCAAAGCGACGACCCCCACGAATCCCCCATTGGTCTCGACGATGGACTTGACCGATCTACCGGACGATCCGGCCATAATCGAGCGCGAAGCCAAGCGCAAAGAGATACAGAGCTTGATACAAAAGTACGCGGCTATCGACGCGCTCTACGACAAATCCGCGGCTGACGCGATAGCCAGCAAGTATCAGAAAAAGAAGACCACTGATACCGAGAGTAACGCGACTGCTGACCCGGCGCCGGTGCCCGACAAGGCTCCTCTATTACCTGTTAAAGTTGCTAAACCGAACAACGACGACGACGGAATCGATTTGATCGAGGATGATTTCGTTATGGTGAGCGAAATAAAGCTCAAACGACCCGCGAGAAAACAACCCATTTATGTAAGTTTCATAGCTCGAATTGCACTATTTTTCGTATACGAACGGTTGCGCGAAGTGAGTGCGTGCAGGAAGATTTCTGCCGTTGACAATTAGCTTGAATTTTGTTTAGGTTTTGTACATACTCTTCGTGCACGCTAACTCGACTTTGCGGACTAAGCACTCGTTGCGTGCAATGGTAAAAAAAAGCACCTAGGCTTGACTCTGATGCATCTTTCTGATAACTAAATTCAGTAAAAATCAACTCCATCACTGCGCTCGTTATCGTTTCCTCGCAAATTTCTCCGTAAAGTAGGGGAAAAAGAGTTAATATTTCAATGTGCCCAGTGCGTGCATACTACTTGAAATACTTGGCGAACGCGTGTACTATCGAAACTTTGTAAATTGGCATTGACATTAAAAATTTTCGCGAGTAAAAATTATCCGCGCACTCGCAAAAGTGGCAGTGCTCGAACGTACCTTGCAAGTTCAATTTGTCCTTTGGCTTTCCTTCGAGATGTAGATAAGCAAAGTATCGATTTTTACCCACGAAAATAATTGCTATCTCGCAAGTTCGCCACTGAACTTGACACTTGCCAAGCAGCGAAAAATTAAAATGGACTCAAGACAACAGCGCTTTCGAGAATCGTTCGTCTCGATCTCCGAACTCTCGTGCATTCAATTGTTGAGGTCGTCAACCCTAGGGTCGCCGCAGCGAGAAGTCGCGTAGCGTTCCCCGCAAAGATGGGAGGTCAGGCGCGCGCGCGCTCTCCGAGCTAATATAATTCGGAATAATTAAGCAGGCCGGCGTTGACAGTTGGCGCGGCGGTGTATACGCGGCAGGGGGAGGCCTGCGTCGTTCGGCGTCGTTGTCATTGTCCTTGGTATCGTTACGGCTCGTGCGACCCGAAAATGCGAGCCGAGGCCGTCGCGGTGCAGATCGTCGCATTTGGACGCGCTTCTGCTGCCACTGCACTCTGTATACGGCCCACTTTCGGAGTAGTTGACTGTTGCCGTGTGCTCGAGCCTATAGACGCGCAGAAGCTTTACAATGTTCAAAGGTGACCGCGAACGGACCGCAGCGCGCGCGAACCAATACCGCCCGCCCCCCACTCCTCCCGCCTCTTGTCTTGTTTATGTTTGATGCTTTGCCGATGTAATAAGATATATATACACCCGACTTTATAATAAGCTGGCTTATTTTTAGCATAAAAACATAATGTTCAACGCATAGATTTCCAACGTTTGAGTCATACTTTTCAATGTTTTAATTCTTTCTTCGCTCCTCTAACACCCTTCTCTTCTCCATTCTCTACTCTATATCTAATCTATCCCTCATCATACGGTTTGTATATTTGAAAACATAAATAAGTTTATGAATGATGAATATATATATCTACGCATACTCTCTTTCTCATTTACTATAGTATATGTATATTCTTAGTGAGTAATAAAAGTAGTTAGTAAATTTGACGCGTGGACATGAAACACGTGTTTTTTGGCAACGCGTTCAGCGCTCGTATCTCTCGCATTCTCTCTTGTTCCTTGAAAGTTACAATTTTTAAAATCCATTTGAAAAATAGCGCGAGATCGACGCTTCTGGTGCACAAAAATCGTGATTCAAATCAACCTTTTCTCGATTTATTTGGTCAATTTCTTTTTCTATCTGTTTTTAATACTCTTTCTATCCAACCATTGGTGTTGCTTTATATTTAACCTCGGTATCGTCATTCGTCGGTTAGTCGTGCAAAAATCGGTCAATTGCGTCGGAAACAGCTAGCCGCGAATCAGAAGTTTTGTGTACGCATATGTTGATACTAATCAAAACGTGTGCGATTAATCCACCTTGCATTCCTTAAAGAGTCATGGTGCATATATCAATATGTATTTTACATTACATAGTATTAGTATTTGATAGCATTTAATATATGATAATATAAGACAAAAAGCAAACATAAAATAGAAAAAAAGCAAAAAATGGCAAAAATGTCTGACTTGGCAAACCATTTTGCCCTCTCCCCTTTCTCTTTGATTGTTGGGTTATCATCTGCGGTTGAATAACGGAATGTGGCTGGCCAATACACAATGTTGATGATGATGATGATGACGATGGTGGTTTTGAACTTGATGTGGTGGCGATGATGATGACAATCGGTGACGATGTTGAATACACACGACGCGCTTCGCTTTGATCGAATCTTCTCCCCCTTCTTCGACCCGCGAAACGCGTGCGCGTCAATGATGGATGTCTCAACTTGGCTGCTGGATGGATGTCATGGACCATGGCTGGATTGGATTGGATTGCACCTGCGTGGATCTACTCTCTGATGATGGATGGAATCAACGAACGGAATCAACCCTCTCCATCTGCTCCACGATGATGATGACGACGATGAATCCAATGGTGCCGATGACCTGATCGCCTCCATCGCCAACGACCTCGCAACAACACCTCCTCCTCCCACAACTGCTACTACTACCTGCTACTACTACTACCACCACCACAACAACAACCGCCACCACAACCATCACTATGTAAACGCAATGTGTCTCGCAAATCTCGCAATGACAGACGCCACGAGCGCCCTCCGTCGAGGACGACGAGGACGGTCATCTCATTTACCAATCTGGCGACGTCCTGGCCAATAGATGTTCGTGAATACCAAAACTAATAACAATACGTGAATACACATAAAATAACAATCTCTCTCATTGTAGTTGCAAAATTATATATACAGTCTTTATACGTTTACATACTTTCAACTTTTTTTTCATTTTTTTTTATTTCATCTAATTTTTTGTCATTGATAAAAAAGAGGACTGAAAGATAACTAGTTGATTCAATCGTTTCATTTTGACTTTCAAAACATTTTAATATCGTTCAATTGCATATAATTAACTTCAAAGGTACACATTGAAATAAAAGTAGTTTTATAAGAATACTTGGTTCGTATTATTCAAGTGTACCATATTGAATTCAATGTAAAATCGCGTTCAAATTTTTTAATTAAAAGAAGTTACTAGTTCTCCAGTCGGGTTTAATTTGAGTTATGAATCAGTAATCTATAAATCACGTTAACTTTTTCATTATCATATCCTCATAACATCGAAAAAGCGATCATTGCTCGAATTTCAAGTTCATTATTTGTACGGCATGTTCGTTTTTTCGATTCAACATTGGTGTAAAGTCTCACGGCGGCGTCACATAGAAATAAGTATGTGCAGCCGTATAGACGTCTTAACGCAATCAATGTCGATATCTATTAAAATAATGACAAACATAATTAAATTTCAATGATTAATATCGTCTATATAATTTTGTACTCTAGAGACTTACATAAATACGAAATCGAATTAATAAGCAGAAGATAGGATAAATACCAAAATTATCAAAGCAAAGAACAATTTTACTTTTGCCGCTTAAATCTTAATACTATGATTGTGTAACAAACAAGACAGAGCATTGCGTATCAAACACTGCACTCATTGATTTTTTGTATACTTGAAAATACTATGTGTCAAAATCAAATTTATTGATCTATTTTTTAATCAAATTTTCTCGAAAATTTTGAACTTTCATTACGTTTCAAAAAGTCAATGATCCCTCAGTTTTTTGTTTGAAAGTCAACGCTCATGTCGCTTGCCCAAGAATGTGTAAAAGCTAATAGTTGCTTTTGTCAATTACAGATAAAATACTTACCACCCTAGGAGAGGGTACATTTGGAAAAGTTGTTCGAGTGAAAGATTTACAAATGTAAGTATTTCGATTGTAAAATTGTTAGAAATGTCTTTTATATAAAAAGTATAATTCGTCAATTATATGTTTTATTAGCATATCCATTTTTCATTTGGTATTAATTTCCATTCAAAATTTATTTATAAAAAATGGATTAGGTAATTTCACAAATCTAAATGTCATATCATAACATAAGATTTGCTAATCATTTTTTACTTACGCATGAAAAAATTAATAAAAATTAATTTTATTATGTTTCTTAGGGACCATGAAATGGCTTTGAAAATCATAAAAAATGTTGAGAAGTACCGAGAAACCGCTAAACTAGAGATTAATGCTCTAGAGAAGATAGCTTGTAAAGATCCTGAAGGTCAACAGTGAGTAAATGCTATGTTATATAGTTTTGTTTAAAAAACTGTATAAAGCAAATAAAATATTTATTAAAACCTTTTTTTACAGTCTCTGCGTCAAAATGCTCGATTGGTTCAATTATCGCGGACACATGTGCATTGCTTTTGAAATGCTTGGGCTAAGCGTTTTTGATTTCTTGGTATGTAAAACATTGTTTAAATTTTTATAGAACTTTCAACGACTCATATAATTTTTAATACTTCATGATGAACAAAATTGTTTTTCAGAGAGACAATAACTTCCAACCATACCCATTGGACCACGTAAGGCATATGGGCTACCAATTGTGTTATGCAGTCAAATTTTTGCATGACAATAAGCTGACGCACACTGATCTCAAACCCGAGAATATTTTATTTGTTGATTCTGATTACGAAGTTGTCTACAATGGTAAAAAGGTTAGTATTAAAAAGGATAATAGAAAGGAAAGCATAAAAGTTAGAGTACCTAACACCGAAAAGGTTAGATAAATTATCACCAAGAATTAAAATGTTAAGTTATCCAATATGTTCTAATATTCCATTTTTTATAGCGAGTCAGAAGAGTGAAGAGAACAGAAATCAGACTCATTGACTTTGGCAGCGCCACTTTCGACCACGAACATCATAGCACAATTGTTAGCACCAGACACTACAGAGCACCTGAAGTTATCTTAGGTACTTATTCAAATACATCAATAAGAATTCTATCAAATTATAAAATACTTACATTTTTTTAATTAAATGCTTGAATCGTCGCAGAACTTGGGTGGGCACAACCATGTGACGTATGGTCGGTTGGATGCATTCTTTTCGAACTGTATCTTGGCATTACGCTGTTCCAAACACATGACAATCGTGAGCATCTTGCGATGATGGAACGCATTCTGGGTGCAGTACCACACAGAATGGCTCGTAAAACAAAGACCAAATATTTCTACCACGGAAAATTGGACTGGGATGATAAAAGCTCAGCTGGACGATATGTTCGTGATAATTGCAAGCCTTTACACGTGAGTATTCTTAACTGTTCAGCGTGACTTTTATACATGAACCAAAAATATCAAGCCCATATCTATATTTTTCAGAGATATTTATTATCAGACGACGAAGAGCATAAGCAATTGTTCGACCTGATTCAAAGAATGTTGGAGTACGAGCCCTCCGCACGTATTACCCTTAAAGAAGCTTTGAACCATCCGTTCTTTGATGCGTTATCTCCTAGCCAACGACTCACAGATTCGCGTGCCGCTGGAGATTCTTCCGGGCAGTCGCACGAGCGATCGCATTCGCTCTCACGATGAAGCTAGAAGAGGGACCGCACCACAGATCATCGCATTATTTACGGCATGACCGCGAATTGCCGCCGTGATCTGTCGCTCTTCGTACGATGACTCTCTGCGAAGTAATGTTTTCAGCGTTCAAGAATTTAACAAAAATCTCTAAACATCTCATTTTAAAACTTTTCGACTTATTTGTGTGAGCGGAGATAGTAGTATATTTAAGAAACTTGTAAAACTGTATCATTAAGTACAATTCATTAGAATATGAATCTTGAACGGAAAACAAGTGTCGGTCCCACTACTCGGGAGTAAAATTAACAATGGCTATTCAAGGACGAAAGTGTTTAAAATAATCTTTGAATCAGTAATCATACCATTCTTAATCGAGATTGTGAGTGACGGTGAGATGCAAGCTTTGACGAAGATTCTGCTCACCGAAAGTATATTTTTTGTAATAAATTTCTGGACACTAAAGTCAGTTAATCATCGAAACTTCAGAATTATTTCTTGATATAACTAGAAATGGTACTGTATTGAAATAACTCCGTACTTTATTTTCACTTGAAAAAAGTTGTTTTAATATTTGTGATTTGCGAGTGCTCGCAATGAAAAAAAAGTAATTAGTGAAAATATTTTACTCTTGACCATCGAGGAATGCCTGCTGCATCGTGGATCAATGATAAAAGTAATGCCATCATTTTTACGTAAGAGTCAATCGTATTGTAGTCCGCTGCGAGGGCAGAGAGTGCGTGAGTCCCTCGTATAATTTAATCAAAACCTTTTTGTAAGAGAATTTTCTGTACATTATAACTATAATTTTCGTAAGATTTTGTTCTCGGAGCGCAATATAAATACATCAGCGAATTTGATAAGTGTTAATAAAGTTAAGATGAATCGAATGAGGAAAATGCAATTTTCTCATTTTTGTTCACATGGTTGTATACACTGTATTGATTAATGACATAAAATCAATGACTTGAACAAGTCTTTTTATGTTTTTCTGATCTACGATAGATGGTAATTTTTTAGTATAAGTAATACCGAAATGATTAATAGTTTGGTTAATTAATTTATAATGAAAAAAACCGAGTGCGACTTTTTCGTAGGATTTATTTGACATCCTATCGTTAACAATAACGAAAACACCTGATAATAGTTTTATGGAACAATGTCAGAACTGTAAATAAGTAAATTGTGTTAAATCTTAAAGTAATCACTTATTTTTGCACACCCTCATACTTTTAGAATTAAGCCCTTGATTTTTATTTTTAGAGGAATTATACATTTATATGATGAAATGTATATATTATGAATTTTAAAGCAAAATCATTAATACTTTGATTTCGCTACAAACATTGAAAAAAATGCATTAATATGTATTGTATTTTTATTTTAGAAGTATGTAATTCAATTGAAAATTTGAAATTGAATCATTATACTATTTCAGAGAATTTTCTCAATAAAAAAGCCACTTATCTATGCTTTCGAATTGATTTTAATTTTAATTTTGTCAGGTAGGGGTTTGATAAGAATATAATAGAAATAACTTGAAATAATGATTTTAATTTATTTATAAATAATACTTTCAACATTTTTTGAAACGTACATCATTGTTTGATTTAAACGGTTATTCATGTGCTTTAGAAAATTTAAGTTCTATACTTTTTTTTTTACAAATGCCAGATGTCGAAAACGTTGATTGATAAAATATTATTATAATAATAGTCCGGATGAAAATGAATTTAAAAACAGTGTGATAATAGATTTTACAAACGGTACATTCATAGCGGTTGATATAACATTTGCTATAAAGTTAAAAGTTAATTATCCGTTAAGTATTACGATAGATGAATAATTTGATTACTTCAACTATATTCATAACATACTTTGGTCTTATCAAACTCAATTAGATGCTAAATGAATCATAAAGATTCAGCTTTGCGCATAATTTTCTAGAAACTTTTCTTAAAAATATTTAAAGTGCGTACGAGTATGACGCATATAAAAAGATGGTATACCATCCATAAATAAGTTAAAAATAATATCTGATCCTCGAAAAATCCAAGTAAAGTGTGTAAACAAAAAATAGAATTATAATGTAAAAATAAGGATAAAATCTAGTGCCAGTCATCAGGACAAAGAATTTGATCCCGCGCCACAGTGATCCAGGAAGCTTGATCAACTCGATCAACAGGTTATTCAAGCCTCGATTCTTCCTAGTTTATGTATGACACAAAGTCATCCGTCGTGTTTCTGCAACTTCTCAAGTTCAGAATTACATCTTAGGCCAAGGATAGACAGCTGGTATGGAGGATGTATAAGTCGTGTCGTAGAGCTGATCTCTTATGAAGTCCTCGTAATTGTTTGGTTCTGGATGCACAGTTGCCAAAGCTAAACAAAAAAAAAATTATTGTTAGTAAATTGTTGTGTCTGGCTAAGAATCCCTTGGCTGCAATTGTCGATTACGAGGAAAACTTACAATTGGCATAAGCATAGTCCATAAGTTTAACTGCAATCTTGATCGAGCACATCTGAATGTCTTTGAGCGGTGGATAAAGGGTGCCACGTTCGAGATCCTCGTCGGTCACGAGTTCAGCCAGTGTTTGAGCCGCTTGCAAGAATGACTCTTCCGGTATGGTTTTCATTCCTGCGGTGATGGCTCCCAGAGCAACACCTGGGAAAATGTAGCTGTTGTTGCCTTGTCCCGGATAGAGAGTTTTACCGCCAAAGTTAAAGGGTTCGAATGGCGATCCACTGGCAAATATTGCTCGTCCCTGTTCAAACACATTTTCATTGCAATAGCGAACATCGAGTTAGCGTTCGGAGCGAAAGAAAAAAAAACTCACTTCTGTGGCGGTGTAGGCCTGCTCGGCGGTGCACTCGGCTTTGCTCGTAGGGTTGCTCAGGGCAAAGATGATGGGTCTGGCGTTGTTTTTGCCCATCTCCTGGAGTATTTCTGTGGTGAAGGCGCCACCGATCGCAGCGGCTCCGATGAGTACCGACGGCTTGGCGAGGCGCACGACTTCGGCCAGGGAGTCAACGGGCTCGTGATCCCGGGCGAAGTCGGCCTTGTGCTCGGTTATGCCGCCCTTGGGACGATTTTTCACGATGAGCCCCTTGGAGTCGACCATCCAGATGCGGCTCTTGGCTTCCTTCTCGCTGACGCCGTCTTTCTTCATGGCCATGACGCAAAGCCACGCTATACCGAGGGCCGCCTGTTGGAGTAGAAAAAAAAAGCTCGAGTTATTTTCCGCGGCATCGTCGGTCGATAGGGATTAGGGAGAGAGCTCGAGTCTAGACGCGCAGTGTCTGAGCTGATTAAAGGCGACTCACCTCGCCAGCGCCTTGGAACACGATGGTGTTGTCGGACAGTCTGGTATTGGTGAGCCTCAGCGAGGCAATGAGCCCGGCCACGGCCACGCTGGCGGTGCCCTGAATGTCGTCGTTGAAGGTGCAGTAGTGGTTGCGATACTTGTTGAGCAGCCTGAAGGCGTTGCTGTTGCCGAAGTCCTCGAACTGGATGAGACAGCTCTGACCGAAACGCTTGACCGCGGCCTTCATGAACTCGTCCAAGAACTCGTCGTACTTGGCTCCGGTGACGCGTTTCTGCCTCAAGCCGATGTACAGAGGATCATCGAGGAAGGCCTGATTGTTGGTGCCGACGTCCAGCGTGATCGGCAGGCACTGGTGGGGCTTGATGCCGGCCAGGGCGGTGTAGAGCGACAGTTTGCCGATGGGGATACCCATGCCCTGGGCCCCCAAGTCGCCCAAGCCGAGGATGCGCTCGCCGTCGGTCACGACTATGGCGCGCACGTCGTGCTCTGGCCAGTTCTTCAGCACGTCGTACACGTGGCCCTTGTCGTGGTAGCTGATGAAGAGGCCTCGCGGCCGCCGATAGATCAGGCCGAATTTCTGACAGGCCAAGCCGACCGTGGGCGTGTAAACGAGTGGCATCATTTTTTCCACGTCCGAGCTGAGTAGCCGGTAAAATAATTTTTCGTTGCGATCCTAAAAACAGTAATACAATTCATGACGTTACGATGTGTTTACTTCTTCATAAGCTCGACAGAGCCCATTTTTTAGGGTATGAACATGTAGATAGTACAGCTACACGATAATAAAAGATGTACCAAGGTAGGTATACAATTTCATTAAAAAAAAAAAAAAAAAAAACGAATTGCTTGTAAAGTTCTCGAAAATAAAATGAAAAGTTTTCATCTCCAAGGTAAATTTTATGTAAATCAGACATAGATTCAGTACTTACGAGTAGGCCAGTGAGGTAAATGTATTTGGACAAGTCGTCGGTGTAACGATCGAGATTCAGCTTGCAGAGCTCCAATTGTTCGTCCTGCGTCTTAACGGCCGCAGGCAAGAGTCCGTGAATGCCCAATGTCTGGCGCTCCTCGATCGTAAAGGCCATGCCCTGGAGGACGACAAATAAAATGGCTTTTTTTAGAATCACGCGTGTAAAATTGTTAAGAAAGCGACATTGTGTCGTGGGTCTTTTTTTCATTTAATTTAATGACGAAATTGCGGAAAGTGCAATAAAAGGACGAGAAACACTTGCGACTCTGCGATTGACGTCAGTTAAGCAAAGTATGCTTGAAGTACATTCCAATTGAATCGTTGCAAATTATTGATCAAATGTACATGGGGGCGAAAACGAAATTATTAAATAAAGATAATAGACAAGGAATAAAAAGTAGCTGGATGTCGGGAAGCTGCAATTGTAATAAAAGAAAATCGTATTTCCACGGGGATGTATACCCGTAGCCAAAGTTAATTGACACTCAACGCAGAAGACATACTGTAGCGCTAGAGTAAATATTCGATAGGCCATGACCCACACAGCTTTAAAACCAAACGTTCAGAGCGAGAAATAATAAAGTATCGCGAGGTGTGGATGTGCACAAGAATATATAGTCATATAGTCGATTAGAAAAGCCGTATAAGACGTCCTCGCGGAAAGCAAGACGAGCGACCCTGACGTAAACGCGCTACTGTGCGTGCACAGCAGCGAGAGAAGCAGTTGCACTGTCAGGGCCTCTGCATAGACGCACGTTCTATATAGGAAAACTATACACTCGTCATCGTTTTTGCATCGAAAATCGTCGTGTCTTGCCGGTTAAATCGTAAAAGTTAATTCGTAAAACGGTATCGGTATAAGAAACCATTTAACTTTCAGCTTTATTTGAGATTTTAAACTAGTCGATTATAAAAGTGATGTAACGTTTGTGAATATAAAATATCGTTTCGACTCGAGCTCTTTTTTGCTATCGCAACTTAGCACTTATACAAGTCTGCAAATATTATCAACAATGAAAATGCATTTAACATTATCTCGTTAATGCATAATAAGCTGCTCGAGACGTGTTGTAAAATACGAGCACATCGTGCTGCTGATTTTCAGCGTCGATATTCAAGTTTGATGCATCGGGTGCAAAAAATGCCATTCTAGAACTCCACTGATTGAGATATGTTTTTATCGTCTTGTCGCAGCTTATCATCGTTACTTACAGTCGAAAGTTTATTTATAATACACTAAGTGTACAGTCTGCAACAATGTAATTGATCAATGCGGGCCCCGATGACCTAATCAAATTTCGACAAAATTCAATTACTTTGTTTGATGTAAATAAATCATTAGGTCCGATGAATAACGAGCTCGTGTGTTTTGAAATGACAACAACAAAAAATCATCGATAACGACGAATTGTGTGTATGCAAGAGGTGCGCGGAGGGCTGGCTGGAAATGACGCGCCGTCTGCGCCAAAAAAGGGGGCTCGATTCTGTTCAATTATACATTTATACAGGCGTGTGCTTGAAAATTTCCAGCCCGATCGCGCATGTCGATCTTTGACCGCGACGTACATTTGTATTTATAGGCTTTAGGCGATAATTATCTTTCGCTCCGTCTGGTCTTCATTCTTCAGCCCCTTTATGCGGCTTTTTGTGTACAGCGTATCGCTCGATCTAGTTCGGTCGGCTACAGCTACTTCAGAAAATGACTAATTACTCTCGGTACCGATGAGAGAGAAAAAGTTGACTGTCAAAATCGCGAACAAATGATCGTCTTTAAAAGAACTATTACTTAATTCCAGTGATGGAAAATATATTTGATTGCTCGATATAAATCTCTTACACTCAAAGATGAGCGAGTCGATCGGAAATTGTTCATTTTGAGGACAATTCATTCGATCGACAGTAGAAAGACGCGATAATCGCGGTCGATTAGGTAAAAATGATCTCACCCTTCCATCGATCGACAGCAAAGATTCTGGTATTCGTGGCACGCGATGCTCGGAGGGCACGAGTACCCACCAACTTGTCTCCTCCATGGGTGCGAAGCTCTCGACGACTGCAGCTGGCACAATCACGACTCGTTCTCGAAAGCGGCTTTTTCATAACGCGATGCTACCTCCTCGAGCGAGTGAAAAAAGCGACGCTCGGGCGGCACACGGAATAAAGAGCGAAAAAACAACCGGCGACGACTGGAAGCTCGAGGAAAAAAAGGACGACGAATACGGAGCGAGAGAGCGGCCACGGCGATGGTAGCGGAAGAGCAGGTAAAATAAAATAAACAAGGCCTGCTATCGCGACTGCTGCTCTACGTTTAATCCGTCAAAAATACAGTCGTATCCTTTGGAATCGCGGCGTGGAGTCGATATGCGGAATACACACGCGACGAGTGCACAGGTTGTGTGAGGCGCTTTGGCCGTTGCCTGACAGCGGCGCAGCATTTTCTCTCCTTCTCGCTCGTGTACGCCCGTAGCCAAGCCTACCGCCGCTCGTTCATATGTATATATACCTGTACGTGTAATAGGGGCTGCGAGAGAGCGAGAAAACACCTGCGGGGGGTAGGCTGTGTGCCGCGTACATGCGAGCTCTATTACGATCGATATAAGACCCCTCCACGAAATTCAGGTTGATGCACTTTGCCTTACTTTGCCTCTCTCGCCTCAGCTCACTCCAATTCCATATTATATAATAATAATGGCTGGCAAAGTGTGACCAACGTCAAGGAATACCATTGGCCGCTGCTCCTGCCGCAGGAGAATATGCACGGCAATTTTAGCGGGTTATTAGGGCTGCAGGAGTCTCGAAAGCCGATGAGTTAGCGTAGCTGCGGATGACGATGGTGGGGAAAAGGAGGTTGAGCCGGTCATAAGTTATGCGGCTCGGGTTTAGAAAAGACGATCCTCTGTCTGATTTCGAACAACCCGAGTGAGAGACCGCCACCGCGCCGGTCGCTGCTTGTATCCGGCTTTTATCAGATTTTAGCCAGGATTATTGACGCGTCTTGCGTGTGCTAGCAATGGCTCTACGAGACGACGGCCCGTAGAAAAAAAAAATAAAAGTGCTCGAGTAAGGTAAAGTATCAATCGGCCAACCCAATTACTTACTGCATATATTTTTGTACACGCGGCAAGAAAGGTTTTTTTATTGCCTCTTGATACTTACCGCACTAATCGGCAGATAATGCAAACGGCGGAAAATATTAACTTTACTCAATAGTCGCAGCTTTTTTTGCTCGCCATTAAGATTTCCCGTGATAAGATAACCATGCCGAGTATAGTTCTAGAATGGGTGTAATTTAGAGTCGTGCACCCTATGGTGCTTGGGGCATTGGTCATCCGTGCCACCTGCTATTAATGTACACAACAGTAAGAAATGTGCATTTACTCATTCATATTAAACTTTCTCACACATGATAGATTCAATTTTCAGCGCAAATAACCAACATTTTTCGAAATCTTAATTTTGATGATATCATATGTTTTGTTCGAATAAGAACGTGACACTGTGCTCACAATTCATTCGGAGCGAATCAGTCTCGATAGAACAGGATTTTCAACAATTTTAAAATATGAAATTAAGTTTTTATAATTCAGGTTAGCAAAGATCGGGGAGCCCAAGGACAATTTTTTAGAGTCCTCTTTTTACATCTATGAATCATGCATCAGCATCGTAAGAATAGCATTATGACACGGAAAATCAAAATTAAACTTATGCAATGGCCGCAGACAAAGAATATGAAGCCATTGCTAAGTCATTCCACTCGACACTATATTCGTTGTTGAAAAATAAAAAAAACTAAACGCGTTAAAAATAATAAGACGTTCGGGAAATGGATAATAGGGAAATGTGCGTGGCCCGGCGACGATCAGTGACCTCATAAGGTCAATAAAATAATACAGCAAAATAACCGTGGAGGCTCGTCTTCTTTATTTGCAAAACGATTAGAGGCGGCTGCCAACGCGAGGCCATTGTTTGCGCGTACACGGGAGAATAAATACAAGCTAATTATCGGTTTTGAATCACCTAATTTGCAAGGCGCCCCTCGACTCGGAGCTCTATTTACCGTCGTTTATCGTTAGAAAAAGTTTCCGTCGCAATTATTGAGAGGTAGCTCGATTGTTGATCGATCGGGCATTTTGATCGATGGAGGAAGCTTATCGAAGCTAATGCTCGGACAATAGGAAATGTGTAGTCAACCGCAAGCACGTTCCAAGTCTTTAGAGGCACGTTTATATCTATCGATGAGGAAAGCACAATGACGACGACGATTCGTCGCGCTTGTCTTCGACTTTCGTCGGCTCTGCGTGTATAATACGTCAGCGTGAGAGCTATCGAAAATTGAATTAGTTTGTCATCAAGATTAAATTGTTCCTATGGTGTCGCGCAATTTCGATAACGCGATTACGACTAGACACACCCACGGAGCTTTAACACGTGTAAAACGATATCGTGAACTATCTTTTTAAAGTCTATTTGACTAGCGCACAATCAGCCGAGCTCGCGAGTCGAGATATATAGATTCAAGGTAAGCGTTATTATGCGACACTATTGCATAAGCTCAAGCTGCACTTAAAATACTTTCGTTTGCGTGCGAGCTCGCCTTTGCATTATTTATCGAGACGTTTTATAAAATTCGTCGAGCTTGACAAAAGCAGAAAAAAATAAATAAAAAAATACCATTACCACAGTCTCGAGCGAGGAGAAATTTCGAGCGAAAAAGAAACGTTTGGCACATTGCGAACGATTGTGTTTGCGCTTGGAGATGTAATCCACAAGTCGTGTCAACGGCCTCGCGTTTTCGTCACACCGAGCACAAGCGAAATGCCAAAATTGTTATCATTATTTTTATTTCTCATTGCATGCAAACACAACCACGTGTGCTGCACTATACATGAAACACGATGCCGTTGCTTGGTAACCGCGTCGTTTCCTACTCTCTCTCTCTCTCTCTCTCATTCTTTTTAGCGTCCGATGTAGAACGCGAGTTTCGCATACGTCTGCAAGTGGAAAATACCACCCAACTTATGTGCGAACGGATTTTCACGCGCAGAAGCCATAAATTGCGAATCGTTGAAAAAATTTCACTCGCCGACCATTGCGAGTGCGTATGAGTTTTATGTCTTTAATTGAAAAATCGACCGATGAATTTTAGACTTCGAACATAAAGAACCTTTCATAAAACCTCAAAATATAAAGAGAACGATAAAAAAGTTATACAGCCTTCGCTGTTCATACACTATTACCACTCGTACGATATTTCGGCTGTAATAGATATATCTCACTAATTATAGTTAGCTAATCAAAGATTTAGCTTCTAAAAATTTCAACGACTCGTGGTGTTAGGTACCGTAGACATTCGTGTTATTGAATTGAAAAATGTATGAGATAGTTAATAACACGTAATGTAGTGAAATTATAAAAACTTGAGAGCAATTAAATTTTCGTTTATTTTATTGCAACCTTCATAAAATAGCTATGAGTTTTTTCCATGGCACTTTAAAAACTAATCAATAAAAATAAAAAAGAAGGAAAAGAGTGAACACGAATGCGGTCGCTCAGAAAGTAAGATTGTAAATGTGAATTTTTAACTCTTAACAATTGCAAGGGCGCGCTTAATTCAGTCTCACGACGTTCATGGACGCGCTCACTGTTGCACAATTTTCCAGCGAAGCGGTGTCGCATCGTCGGTCGCCCGTTGAGAATTCAGACAAAAAAAACTCTTGTGCGTCTCCGCGAATACGCAGACGTTCATTAGATAAATAAGACTCGGTAAATGCATAAATTTCTCACGCGTAACGCATAGATGTCGGGAAAAAAAGGAGCAGTAGAGAGGTACATTCACGTCGTAATTGTCGCGCGAGAGACGAGAGAGAAAAAATCGAGGATTTAATCGATGCGGCGAAGCGAGAGCAAGGGAATCTTTAGAAGGGCTGAGCAAACGTTACCTTGTTGATTCGGGGATTGCGCAGATGGTCCAATCCTCGGGCGAGATTGGGCGATTCGCTGTCGTTCATTGGACGCTGTCCCAGCTGATCGCGCTGTAAATACTTGCTGCTCATGTTGCACTTGCTTTCACCTGGACTGGAGCTTTGATTCTTGGCCTTGTTTCCTTCGCCTCGGTACTGTAACCTGCAAATATCGACGGACTTGGTCTTAGGCGGGCTCGTCGAGAGCTTTTTCGGTCGAGAGTAGAGAGCTTGAAAGACGCGACACGAGCAAACGCGAAGCTTGTATTATCGCGGAGAGTAAAGTAAAGCGAGGTGTACGAGGTGCGCAATAGGCGAGTGGCTCGACCAGCCAGCTGATCGCGACTGACACACGCAACTTCGTACTTATAGCCTGTCGCTGTCGCGATATTGCGCGCCTGAGGTGAGTCGCGGTGGCTTCTACTGCGCTGCTCCGATACGCTACACGAACGTGTGTACCGTCTATGTATTTTGTATCAATGTGTGTATAAATGCGCCGTGAGCTGTCAAAGGTGGATGTACGCGCAGCCGTACTTCTAGTCCGACGAACCACTCTGCGTACTATATATACGCGCGAATATACCGTCTCTGATACGTGCAGCGGATCGGTGTGTGTCTGTGTGTGTGTACTCGAGCCCGCTGCTGCTACGGCTGCGGTGGTGGGGAAAAGTGCAACACGCGGAATCGCCTGTTATCGGCTCGTTGCGCGCGCGACAGCGGCAGATTTGTTTTGAATTTTTAGCGCGAGCTCGGCGACAACAGGATGCGGTCTCTCGTTGGTTTTTCGTCGATCATTGGCCCCGTCGTCGTCGCGGCCTGTTATACCAGAGAAAGACTCGAGGATGTGAACGCGGTTTCGCGGCAGCTTTCACTCTCGACTGCGAGTTCGCACGTGGCGCTCGTGTTTCCCTCCGCGCGAGCTGATATCCTTAATGAGCCAGGACCGCCCCGCTTCTGATTCGTTTCTCTTTGCCGCCGCCGCCGCCGATCATCGAGTGCATATATAATAGCGAGCGTTGATTTACATCGAGGCGCGAGCAGTCGAGCACTATACGCGTTATGCGTGCATTTTACTCGATGTCTCGACATTGAACTGCTGCGCGGCATGTCATTGTTGCGCGCGAGATAAATTAGCTCTTTCATTATCGCGTGGAGTCTTGGAAAAAGACGCGGATCAGTGATTAATAGACGTTAACCAAACGTCACGATACTTTTATTCTCGTTTTATTTTTATTTTACACGCGTATCATATTATATGTAAGTACACTTATCCACACACTCGATCTCGGCATATCTACCTTATTTGTGGTATTCGAATGAGATTAAATAACTATAATAGTTTCGCACGGACGCACCAACAGTCGCGTAAATTAGACGTAAACGCGAATATTTATCAGCATAACCTGCGATAAAAATTATCCGGAGCGCGCACGCGTTTCTCGCGTTAGGCACGACCACAAAACTACCAACGAGACGGTATCGCATCTTCCTCGGCGACGTTCAGATATTTGGCTGCGACGCGCCAACCACAACATGCGAGTTTACGTGTACTTTTTTTGCGTTGTTTTTCTTTTCTTTGTAACAAATATAACCTGTGACTGATGGGGTCAGACTTCCAGGTAGAAGCCTTGGTGCCATTGCCGTTGTCCTCCTTGACACCGGGACGAACCGAGTTTGACAATAACCTGTTGGTCGAGGACATTCTTGGATCACCGATTATCCGTGTAAACGCTAAACGACCGCTCGACATACTGTCCGCTTATCGCTCGTTGTACATGCGTTTTTCACTGGCCTGATCGACTGAAATTATTTATCCTGAATACCGCAGGGAGGCACACGCGACAAGACGGCAAGGGGAAAGAAAAAATAGATGAAGGTTGATTGGATCGGCAACGCGACAAACTGCAGCGCAGAGGCTCATTAGCGGCTACACGAGTTTATAAGGCAGCTCGACAGTTGGAGCACTGACTGGCAAAAATTATTTGCGGAAAATCGACGATTCGTTTTCCAGCCGATAAGGCGTCGTACCAACACTCGCCTCTCTCTCTCCCTCGTATAGTCGTATACGTATAGCATGTCTTATTTGATCCGCGCGTAAATACGCTGCGATTTATGTACATGTAAGTATCGAGTGTAAGAACGCGTGTGTTGTGATGACGATTCACGTGACGCGTCTTAGAGAACGTGTATCGCAGTAGCGTGCTCGGGACGTGAGCGCGACTTTGAAATTCTTCGTCGCGATCTTGTTCCGATCGGATCCGATGATTAATCTGCATGCTCCGAGCTGGACCCGCTCGTATGATTGTTTGTACGTAAACAGGAACCAAAACCGACTATACCGAGCAGATGACGAAATTCCAGCAAATTTTAACGTGCCCCTATTGTACTACTATTATCGGTAGTGCTAATACCCGCATGACTGATAGGAAAAATATATCTGACGACAAAAATAGTTAGCCTAAGGGGGTTTCGTATGCGTTTTGAGGTACCACAAAACTAGAAGTGTATTTCCACGTATTTTAACCAGCTGAATCCAAATTTTCAACTCGTACATCGCTCAGAATTAATTGTTTACAAAGCTGTAACTCCTAAGCTATTGAGTATTTACCAAATCAATTATTTTCCATTTTATTGCACACAAAAAGAAAAAAAATTTCCTTTTTTTATTCGTCTTGATACGACCAATAGAACCGAAGATATGGTTAGGGGAAAATATTGGTAATTTTTTATCTATTAATACGTCAGTTCAAGCCCAACGCATTGACCTTATGCAAAATCGTTACTTTTACTATTTTAATAATATCTCTGGTCCTATTGATTGTATCAAGACGAATGAAAAAGAAAAAGTTTTTTCATTTTGTGTAGAATAAGATGAAATATAATTGTTTTGATAAATATTATATAGTTTAGGAGTTATAGCCTTATAAACTATTAATTTTTTATAACAAATTTTTCCCCACTCAAAGCGATATGAGAGTTGAAAATTCGGATTCAGTGGGTCAAAATACGTAGAAAAACACTTCTAGTTTTGTGGAACCTCAAAATTCATACGAAACCCCCTAGACTATGTTGCATAGAGCTGCAAAAAACAAACAATAAGTTTTATTATGTTGGAATCAACTAATATAACTTTCACTATTCAATTTCACATCGACATTGAGCCGAGGTGTTTCTAGTGGTTGGCTTTTGCACAAGTATTTCAGTAAAAGATATTACCGATTGGGTTGCTTCGCGCCGAGAAACTCAGGTCGAAATAATTTGAAAACGAAAAAGACCTCCCGACGAACTTTCTTTTTTGCCTAAGATCAATCGAACGATTTGACGTGGACCTGAAAACGTCTGCAACGAAATATCTTTTCATCGATGTCATCATCTGCGCCACGTGCCTACCTATGCGATACACGGCAAAATAAAGCCCAATGTAATTTTCTTTGTTAAATGAAAATGTCAAAGTCCAGCTGGCGCATTATAGCCTTCATTCGGCACAACAGATCCCGAGGCGGCAGCTATTCCGCACAATGGATCTCATAGTAGGCCTGACGTGCTCCACGCGCGTTAGCTACGGCCACGTTATTAAAGTGACACGTGTGAGTGCACTTTCGAATGGACAAAAGGCGCGAGAATCGGAGTCATGGAATTCAACGTTTCGCTGCTGCCGTGTTGTAAGCTCGTGAAATATCTCCCCGACCGTTTGACAGCGGAAAGAGCCCAGCGAAGGCAAAATTAGAGTGCGTTTGAAGCGAGGCGCGCGCCAACGACCACACGCATGCACGCGGATGTATAAGCTCACTAAGGAAGGAAAACGTCGTCGATTTTGGCGGTAAATATAGCGAGAAAAAGAAAAAAATAAGAAACAAATGAAAAAACAAAAAAAAACTCACGTCTTGAAGCCGCTGCAGTCCAAGCTCATGGAGCCCTTGGAGTTTTGCAAGCCCATAATGCAACTGTGTGACGGGAACGTCGACGGCGATGATGGCCTTCACACTCGGGTGCAGAAGTATGCGTATATATTAAAGCAACAGCGGCAACTGCCTGCTGCGTGAGCGATGACTCTCTAGCGACTGGCAGCAAGAACGAGGCATCAAAACGTTATTAAATCTAAGACTGTATAAGACGTCCTACACTCGTGTGAGGCGCGTGAGAATCAGAGTTTTTCTTTTCTTTCTTCTCATGTTGCGCCACGGACACAGGTGTAGTACGAAGTGGAGGCTCGATTTATTGCCACCGGATGGTCGATTTTTTGCTCCAGCACGTGGGCTCGGCACTCATGCGATCGTTTTATTTGTCGGACCCTGTTCATTCATCCCTTTGTCATAACAACTAATTTTGTATCATTTTTTTTTAAACATTCGCAGCCTTGTCCACGCACTTGTTTTAGAAAGTCATCAGCTGATCGCCATGCCTATACGTATTCGCTCGCTGCGTGGACTGACTAAATTAGAATGAAAAATAACCTTTCACTCGGCCTTCAGAGAAATTAAATCCTTGCCACTAGCTCATGTCCGCGTGCAAGCAAGCGCATGGTAATCTGCACACGAACCGCGTCCCCGCGATCCGCGGTCTCTCATTTTTCAGCGAAAGTCCATCTATTTTATTTAGTCGGAGCGCCTGCACTATTCCTATCCGTATAATGTACACGCGCTCGCGCGTCAGTATCACGCCACGCGTTCTTTTACCGGTACTAACTTTTGCACTGCTTATCGACGTTTTTTCCTCCTTTTTTCGATTGTTGCAACTTGAAAATCGATGATGCAGTAAGTCTCGCACGAATTGAGAAAAAAGCGACGCCATTTAAATTTCCAGCGAAAATCGCTGATCAAGTATCACGAAACCGACAAGTTTTGAATATCTGAAATAATCAAAACTATCGATGAAGTGATTATAATAATTATATATGTGTATGACAATTTAACTATCGACACGAGCGCAAGAGCTACGGTATGAGCGAGTTCCTTCGAAAAACGTGTTTATCTATTTTTATAAAAACAATATCGTTATGAACGTTCAAAATATTACGTTATTTGTTCTAATAATTCACATCACCTATCGAGAAAAGATATTTATAAAAAAAATAGAATCTGATTTAATGCATCCACGTAACTGCAGTATTTTCATACCGAATACTACGAATAACGCACAAAGTTTTGTCAGTAGTTACTTCAATCATTATCATTTACGCGCATCCAAGCATTTCATTTATTTTATTCAAGAGCGTGAGAAATTTTTGGAGAAACACCAGGATGAATTATAATTGCTTTTTTTTGTTATAATTTATTCAATCATCTTTCCTGTATTATTTCATTCGTAATAAATTTACTGAGTTTGTAAAAATTTTGTTCAATAGTTTCTCAGTTTTTTCACATACCTATAGTTTTAGGCACTTAGAATGTACAAATCGTAAATTATACTTCGTGATACAAAATCTGCAATTAGTTTGGATGAAAAAAATGCAACATCGCTGATTATTCTTCCTCGGCGTGTAGATGATTTTTGCTTCGTCACTAAAAGTAGCAATCAATACTGTAACCGAAAATCTTCGCATCACTGAACACTCTTTTGCGAAACATGTATACAGGTTCCAACACTATGACTAAGGAAAAAAATTATTTCTTCCTCAGGAAGCGATGTGATGAACTCACAAGTGACTTGTTTAACCAAAGTCCATATGAAAATTTTATTTATTGACATAGTACTTGTTTCGAATTGTTATCTTGCAGGCTGTCAGGCCACGAAGTAGCCATGTCTCAAAGAATGATAGGTAAGTAATTCATCTCACCATGTTTCCTCTGAACACTCTTTCAACTCTAGGATCGCTTTTGCTGTCCACCTTCCTTTACTTGTATTGACGTAGACCAGAAACTATGTCACACATTCAGAAAGCGAAATCAATTGAATGTTTTATCTTTAACAATAAGACCGTTTTCCATTTTGCTGATTTCAAAAAGCCTTGCTTGTTTTTGACTCTGTCACAATCCAACTTGAAATTTTTATACAATAATAATAAACTCGTCACTAGCTTTTCCTGCAAAACAAGGAGTTGTAGCACAAGTGGAAGATGAGTATGCACTCGATGCCGATTACTAAAGTAAAGCTTTAATTTAAGATTAAAACGATAGGATTCGTAGATTATTTTCGATGTTACATCCTCAAAGCAGTGTAAAAGTGGCCTATTGAAATAGTGATAGCGAAAGAAGAGAAGTTAAGTTTTAATTCGAGGCGAATCATGTGAGGATTAGTAGCATACTTGAATATTTAAACCTAGAAAATAAGACTTAGTTTAATTAAAATTGTATAAATATAACAATGAATAATCACTCTTTGAGTTTGCCAATGCATTGACACCGGTTTTTTGTTTGTTTGAGATGATACCTCTTATGCAGTCTTCCGAAAAAGTAACGTCTGTCCGCGGCTGCAGTGCAAAACCGACTGCATACCTTTTGAAACTACATTTCCACTTCTTTAACGTTTTAAAAGTTTTTGGCATTGGTAGATGCACTTGCAATCAATGTCCTCTGAAATCAACTCCCTTTCGCCGATGTACGCTCAATTCAAACATGCAATGTGTACTTATCCTCCGGATTTACGGTGGCAATTTTCAGTCACGGAAGCAGCACTATTGCGGCATGAAATTTTCACTTTCGTTTTTAACAGTTTCAGCTCAAGGCTTGCCAATAATAATAATAAAACGACGTTACACATCAATAATAATAAAAATAATTAAGCATTATTTTATACAGCAATTATGAAATATGTTATTTTATCATGCAATAACATCTTTTTTTTAATCTCTTTGATTTGATTGCCTTTTACCAGAATCGATAAACAAGTCGGTGTTTATACAGAAAAGTTTTCGTGTTAAAACATGTGAGCTTTCATCCATAAAATACACCTCGTAATTATAAATTCAAATACAGAACTTGCTGAATGCATATTTTATTCATGGCATATTTTATTTTTTCTCAAAGATTTTAAGAATAAAACGAAGTATTTAACAAAAAAGTAATTTACTGTAAATAATACTTTCTAAGACGCAACAGTCCCATTTCATAAACTATGTAAACGAAATACTTATTTAAAATGATCTTATTTTACTACATGAACTAATTAAGATAGTTTGACCTGTATCAAAGTTTTATAAAAATTTTAACTAAATAAAAACTGATACACATATTTCATGTAATGTCTTTAAGACTTATTTCACCTATTAAAAAAAACTTTCAAGATTGTAAATTGATTAAGATTTAAATTAAAGAGCTCGCACAAAAAATATTGTGTAATATGTACTGATGAAACATGATTCAATTTTTTTTGTTAAAGTGTAGTTGATATTATTTGTTTTTGATATTTTGTTTAATATTAGCTAAAAAGTTTTTTGGCAAACCAAAAATACTTGTACCAACATATAACATATTTTTTGAGTAAAAACATTAAGACTAGGTAAGAAATAACACTTCAACAAGAGTCATTGATATTCAACCATGTACCAAAAGCATTAACTATCATCATATATATAAAACGTTCAAATGTCTCATAATCCATACTGCGACGAGTTAAGTAAGTTTCATGCTCCTTCATTAATTTTTGAAGATTACTTATCATTTTGGGATCATATTCAAAATTATTGCCTTGAAGTTGATTGACTATGGTGCCTTTTAATTTTTCTATATACTTATATTTGGTTCCAAGAGAAATTTTCAATTTAGGTGATTTTCTCAATATGTCCTACCAATAAAAAATGTTGTAACTTATAAAAAATTATTAAGATGTATGTTTTTCTAGACATTATACCTTAACAAATGGTAAGCTCTGACTCCAATTTTCCTGACAAGCTCTACATTCACATTGAAATTTATAAGCACTCCAAATTGTCTCTGCTCTTTCCTCTTTAGAACAACTGGTGTAATTATCACCAACATAGCATAAGAAGAGCTACGTCAAATCATTAATATTAAAAAGATGATATTTTTAATAGAAAGGGAATTACTAATTGAGTACCTGTTCACCCTCTTCTATTGTAAATTTACTATAAACTATCCGTTCATTTTCTCTAGTAGGAACACTGATGACATTAGGATCACAACTATGATTAAATAAACTACAAATAGGATATAACGCAGAACCAAATTTCTGACCAAGTATAGTACTTTCTCTGTGTACAAAATACTGAAATAAAAAACATGTGTCAAGCACATCTGAATTAATTACTGAATATTTTGAATACCTGATATTGAATCTTTACTTTGAGATTATTATTTGGCAATAAAAGTGTTGTTTTTAGAAGCAGACCTCCAATAAACTTAACGTCTGGGTTATTCATAATTAATTTTGGTGTAGTTTTAATTTTTTTCCCAAAAAAAGGACTTTTTGTTGCTAAAAGATGTATCGCAATGCTGACCAATACAGTAAATATTCCAAGAGTTTCATCTGCTACATTGTCAAGTATTGTTGTAAGACTGTATATACTTCTACATTTTTGACTATCAAAGACACCATTAAAAAAGCCTTTTGTTCTAGGATCTGTAATAAATTAGTGTAAAAACAGAAATAATGAAAGTAATGATTAATATGAAAATTCCCATTACCTTTGTTTTTTTCAATATCAATCAACTCTTGACGCATATTATCAATTCCTCCAACTTCATTTATAGCAATAAGCATCAATTTAATAGTAGCTGCCAGTGACCTGACTAACATATGACTATTTTCTGGTTCACATTGACTCAGAAAAGGATAATTATAAAAGTTCAAATTATATAGATATGCTAGTACATTACACTCATATTGATGGTATTTTTTCCATGCTTCTGACTTACATTTATCAGAGCAATAAACATTGAACACACAACTTTTGCAGGGTACAGAAGCCCAAGTTTGTTTGGTGCAATGAGAGCAAAACATGTAATTACCCCACATACTAACAGACGTAAAATAACTTGGCTCAAGTACCAGTACCTCACCAGGATCAATTCTTCTTGCAGCTACAATATGTCTTCCCCATTTGTTGCTGTATTTGATGGCTAAAGCTGATGAAGCACAAGGTGCTTCTTGGCTTCTTTCGAAAGTGATGGCTGGTTTAGTCTTATGGTTTTCAGTCTTCTTTTTTTTGTAAGGTATTTGCAAATTATTGTCTAAGAAATATTGCAATTTGTTAATACATTTTCTTTCAATTTCATGACTTAACGTATATCCTTTACACAAATTCAGGGCATTTTGACAAACATTCTTCGCAGTATTTCTTTCCATGGCGATCAAACATTCGACTTTTCTCAAAAGCAATTCGGCTTTGAGGGGGTCCGGGGGATTCAACTTAAATCCTTTATCGCAATCTTTGATACATTCATCGAACTCTCTCAAATGATACAAAAGAGCGGATCGGTTGGAATACGCTAAAGCGAGCTCTTGCGAGTCGTTGGGGGCCGCGGCAACGCTTCGAGTGTAATAATTCCATATTTGTTGATGTTGATTGGCATTGTGATTTTTGGAAATGTACATGACGTTGCCTTGTTCGCTTAAATTCATAGACTCTTGGGCACATTTTTTAATAGGTTGAATCGGGTTGTGCTCAAGAAAAAAATAGTATTGATCTATAGTCGTATGAACCAATTCTTTTTCCAATGACAAACCATCGGAGTTATCTTTATTTTCACAGCCCTCGATCCTCAAATTGATTAGGCTTCGGTTCAAGGTGTGAATCTGCGAGTTGAACATGATTACTTTCAAAGTTCGCTCACTCTGTCAGTGGTAACAAGTATTTAACAATCACAGCATTCGAACAGCAGCACGCCATGAAGTAACAAAACACAAGAGTGCACTCGTCGCACAAGCACTCAATTATAAAGTTTAAACTAACGATCGCAATCACGCACAAACACACACACACACACACGCGCGCGAGCGAGGAAAGCCGCACTACGTTCAATTTTGAAAGTCGGCGTACTTTTGAGCGTAAACGCGCGAGGCAGCGGTCGAAGAAGAACTGCGCTTTTCCCGCGCGCTCCCATAAATGCAGGCCCTGCCGAGCCGTTCGTCCGCAAGCTAAGCGTGCAGATTTGCCGATTTGGCACGAGTGGCGAACCGACCAAGAGCTGCTGCGACTGCGAGCGTATTTGAAAATAGCTCGCGCGACGAATCGCGCGCGGCTGTAGGTATGTGTATGTAGTGCGCCATACACAGCGCACGGGGCGCGTGAAGGCCCTGCACAACAGGCCGCGCGTTTCATATATTGTACGCTGCATGTGTAGCTGTACATAACGTCGGATCGGCCGTCCCTCGGCTTTTTATACCCTAACGAAGCGTGAAGAAAAAACGTTACGCACCTAATGTGTACCTCTGCCTATACCAACCTCGTGCATTATGAAACGAAAGGACTACGAGAGGCTCTTTCCTTTTCTCTATCTCTCTCTTTCTCTCTTACTCTGGTCTATATGGAACATGTACTGCAGCGGTCGAGTTGCTTCTTGCTTGTGACTTGCACGACACAAGACGCAAATGCGAGTCCGTTCATACGCACGAGCCCATGCCGCTTTGCCGCTGAGGCGTCGGCAAACAACAAAGAGAAGCCGATCTTTTCTAAAGCTTAAGCTCTTTCTCTCTTTTTTGCTCTTTTCGCGTGCATTTGCTGTATATTGACTCGGTGCTGCTGCTGCGAGAAGAGCCCGACAAATGCCTATTATACGTGTGCTTGTGTGTATGTAATGTGGCCATTGACGCAGGAGTTTGTCACTCACTTCGGCCAATGATGATGATTGCGTTGGGCGATTCCGTTGGTCATTGAAACGTAACTTATGTAGAGTTGCAACGATGAAAAGAACAAGAGGGAACGGGGAGAGGGCCAAGACCCGTGAAAGCCTCGAGGGCTGCGAAAAATCGCCAACCTGACGATAGCAGTACCGAAATCAGCGTAACGACCGTCTTTTTTTTCATGCGACCGAGTGTAGGCCACGCGATGGGCTCGAGATCGCCGAGAGGAGGCGATGAAATTTGCGCGTAGCTATACCTTGATATACTCGATCCCTCTAGCCGGCTGTAAAAACGAAGCGAACGAGCGAATGAACGGGTGAGGCAATACAATAGCCTCGTAGCCGGCACGGCGCGTTTTCATGAGAACTCGATGACGATCTGTTACGCGCGATTATCTTAGCCTCGCGATGCTGCGCTGCAGCAGATGGGAGGAGAAAAATTGCGCTGCGAGTCGATTCGTTGTGCTGCATAACGTTCGCAGGCATGGCCTTTTGCAGGGCTACGTCGTGCAGTTCGAGCCAATGATCGAGATTCGCGATACAGGAGTGGTGCACGCCTTCGTTACGCTCACCGAGTCTTTCCTCCATCGCCCAGTCTCTTTCCTTTAGTTGGACCTGAGCTTTTCCATAGCTAACATCTTCCTAAGTACTACTGATTTTTGCTAAAATAATTCAAAATTCGATAATTTCATTATATAAGTGTATTGAACCGACTTCGACAACAGCGTCAGACTGTGCTTCAAAGAATCACGAGGAAGCTTTTATTACTAATTACAGTCTATGGATTTTTTTCATTGAATAAGTATAGTAGGTTTTAGTTAGAATACCATCCAATACCAATTTTTTCAAGAATTTATACCATTTCACAAATTACAAATTTAACCTGTTCCAGATCTACGTGTAATTCTACTGGATATCTAAAATTTAACGCAACGAATATAAGCTAAAGATAATCCCATAATAGAAAATTCGAAAAAAACTCGAGATATCGTTACAAATCAACATAATAAATTAAGTCAAATTGTATATTAGGTATTAAAATGTTACATGTTGAAATTCTCCTATATTCAAATAAAACGTTAGACTTAAGATATTATTGATGAAAAAAACCTTCAATACGTATTTTTATAAAAAATTTGCGTTAAAAAAATCATTTTACAGCGTGAAATTTCAAAAATACTTCACAAGTTGAAGTGACACAAATTAACAATAATAATACTGATAATAAATCGTAGGCTGGCCAAGTGGATTTCAATGAGTATTTTTTCCATTAATTTTTAATCGATCGCGGAACGAAAAAAGAGAATATCACTGAGGCCATTAGAATATTTATCGAAAGTCTTCAGAGAGTTTTGAACTGTTCAATAATGCGCAGATTAGGGTTTTTCCAAAATTTATTTAAAAAAATGTTAATCATTGAAATATGTTTTTTTAATAAATCGATATTCCTGTAATAATAATAACTATGACTGTTACAGATAAATTAAATTTCAAAAAGTACTGAGGTACTGAATAATTCCATTCTCTTTTACAATGTGAAAAATGTTATTTTGTCCATATCATATGGTCTTAAGAATAACATGTAAAAATATTCCTATCATTGTTACAAGTTTCAATAGCACTGCTTTTCATGGCAATTGAAGTTTTAATCGTTCATTAATGCGAGATGATTAAATTGTTATGACGCGTCATCGTTGAAGGTATATAACCTTCAATGTAAGTGCACGCGTCTGCTTCTAATATAAACCTTTTTTTCTAATGGCGAGTGGTTAAAATTTAGCAATTATAACTTCAATTTCTTATTGATTACTCGACTACTCGAAAACCATCGCAAAATAAGTTACTGTTCATTGACAATTGCCTACTATGAGAGAAGCTTCACATGCGTGCAACATGAAAAATGAACGGAACAAATGAGAGTTTCATATCAGCTGTTCGCAACTTCTTCGGTCGTTTTTCACTGCCCCGATAAGCGGATGGGTCTATCACTTCACCAAGTACATGAAGTACACAATGAAGAAATAAAAAATAACGCCAACTCACAAATGAACAAGCTTAAACGGGATTCATCTATCAAAATTTAACATGAGTGAGACATTATGCGTAAGCCGAGCAATGCGTAGCTCCTGTCTCCCCGCCATTATCTAAGCTTGGTCTTCAATGGCACGCAAACATTTTTATTTCTTACTAATACATCGATCTTCAAAAGCTAAATTAATCCTTGATTAATACTCATTGATTTTAATGTTCAATGAAGAATCTCATAAAAACACCGTGAGGTTGTGCTGACGCACACACTTGGATGTTTCGTGTTTTTTATCTACCGAGTTGACTATTTTGTTCAGTGTTTAAACAATTCAGCTTTAACTTCAATTATGTATGAAAATCATTCCGAAATAGCTCAAAATTGAAAAACGGCTCACCGCTAGAAATACGAAAAGAATGAAAAAAAATATTAGTAAAATACAACGAGCATATTTCTAACAGTAACATACAGACTGTGAAAAGATCATTTCTCGATCTAATGCAACTTGTAGTAAATTGAGTCAATATTATTGACAAGTTATCCGTGATTCATGAACTAATGATAGTTATAAAAATAAATGTTTTTAAATAAATACTTATTTAAACATAGGTAAAAACAATAAAAAGATAATTTCCTATGAATTTAAAAATAAAGCCAAGCTAATGTATTTACTCTTTCACGATGAAAGAACATTGCTAATTTGTATACTATTGTTAAACTGAATATTATTACTATAGTCACGAAAATCTAACTCTTTTAATCGTAAAGATTTATTCAAGATTTTCGTCCGACCAGCACATGCATGGAATAATAGTTTTTAAAAATTAATAAATAGTTTCGTACAATGAATATCAGCGATTGCTAACATATAAGTATAAGAAAGAAATAATCATAGCATTCAATCGTTGTTATCACACGTTTTTAATTAATTAAATGTAACAATTTATAAAAACTTGAAAAAGGGTAAACTTTAAAATTTTAGCACCTATGAAAAAAAGTTGTCTCGGTTCCATCATTTTTTTACTAAAGAATTGTAAACGATACGATATGATCAAGTGCATTATTCGTGTTTGAAAACGCGATGTCTCTAAAAACGTTTTTTCGGAATTTAGTACGATAAACTGGATAAAAAAATGATTATCCTTGTAACACAAATGTTTGAGGTTTCATTTGCAACTACAACAAATTGTTTATTATTTATTGTTAATTAGTTATAATAATAAAACCCCTGAATTTTTATTTTCATCGTGTAACTATTGGCTTATGATGATATTTTACACCATTTAATTTCATTGGATGTTAAATATATTGATTTTTTATATTAGTAAATGTTATAAGGTTTATATTGTTAGTGTTTAATTTTTAAATTATGCATTGGTATTTATTACATTTTGATAAATAAATAAAAAACCAGTAACACGATGATAGGGGATATAATGTCAAGTTTAGGCCGCGACTACGTGGTCTCTCGGCGAGGTCCGCGCTACTCCTATATAACTCGCGCCACATTTGTTAGCGGCACATTCGCACATTGCCACTCGCAGCGTACGCATCTATCTACAGATTACCCAATCTCACTGACTCTACGATGGCTGACACAGCAGTTGAAACTCCAGCTCCAGCAGCAGCGGCAGCTCCCAAGAAGGAAGCCAAGAAGACTACCGCTAAGAAGCCAGCTAGCAAGGCATCGCATCCACCAGTAGCCAAGATGCTGGTCGAGTCCGTCGTTGCCTTGAAAGAGAAGAAAGGATCGAGTCTTCAAGCCATCAAGAAGTACATGGCCAGCCAATACCTCGTTGACGTTTCCAAACTGGCTCATCTCATCAAGAAGTCGTTGAAAGCAGCCATTGAGGCCAAAACTATCATTCAACTCAACGGAGTTGGCTTGAACGGACGTTTCCGTGTTCCAGCCAAGTCTGCTGAGAAGAAAGAGAAGAAGGTCGTCAAGAAGCCAGTGGCTAAGAAACCAGCGGCCAAAAAGCCAGCCGGTGAGAAGAAAGCCAAAGCTGCCAAGCCATCCGAAAAGACGAAGAAAGCTGTCGCCGCTAAAAAGCCTACAAGTACCAAGAAAGCTGCTGCCGCTAAGAAGCCAGCTAGTCCGAAAAAGGCCGCTGCTGCCAAAAAATCGCCAGCCAAGCCCAAGGCCGCCAAACCTAGCAAGGCCAAAGTAGGAGGTAAATCTCCTGTTGCTGCCAAGCCGAAAGCACCTAAACCGAAGAAGGCCACTGCCCCCAAGGCTAAGGCTGCTAAGAAGTAAAGTGAGACAGTCAAGTCCTTTTTAGGACTATAATCGGCCCTTTTCAGGGCCACAATTATACAACGTGTGAACATGTATCAATGCATACAAACATTCTACATAAATCCACAATTTAATTTTCCTCATTTTTTAATGTCATCCTGTACTTACAAACAACAGGAATTTTGATTTTACGAGCTTCTATTCTCGTTTATCATCGAAGCTCTGGATTTATTTACAGGGACTTGTTCATTAAGACTTGGTCACACTTACCCTTGATGACAAGATATCTCATCCTACAAGTCAACAATAAATCTCTTATTCACTTATTTAATTTGATAATCACCACTGAAATCGGTAGTGCTCAAAAGCTCTGAGAAAATTTGATAAATATTGAAAATATTAAAATGAGAATGAACATATGAGCAACTGCGCGATTCATTATTTTGAAAATATTTGACCGCGTGGTTACATACATCTACACATATAAGTATTAACTTCGTATGATGAGCAAGATCTTTTCTGTGTTGAATACATCGACCAGGCCAACGGAGATCATCTCGTGAATACAAGACAATTCCTCTTTCAAAGATGCGGGGAAAAAGTAATCTTGGGAATTTATTCATGAAAATCTCAACCAGGTTGAGATAAAAATTGACTATTGATTACGAGCCACGAGTCTATATAGTAACTCACCAAATACATTTTTTGAAAGGATTATTCACCCTGCATAATTAAGAGATTTATTTTGCCTCAAGTTTTTGAAATTTTTTTCATAATATTCGTGTACATTAAGCTTCGTAAGAGCAGTTGATATGATGTAATTTTATTGTGTTAAAGATATGAGATAGAATGCTGCTCTTTATTATCATGAATCATGTTAGAATTATTTTTCATCTGGCCGACCACAAGAAGTAAAGATAAAAATAGTAACATGGTCGATTTGTTAGTTGTTGAGGTATTTTTGAAATGCTAGTATCATAAAAAATTTTTTCTCAAGTATTTGTTGAAAAGACAATTTTAATCATGTTAAAATTGCTGTTGAAATGGAATGATAAAATATGTAATAGGTGTTTATTAGGGGCTCGAAGATGTTTCAGTAATGACATGCGTGATTTTCTATGGAAATCATGATAAAAATGCAATGTTTTGTGATAATTAATTCCTGTTTCAATCAAGTAGTGGCCCTGAAAAGGGCCGTTTGTTTGTAAGTAGCAGCTTAGGCACGTTCTCCACGAATGCGACGGGCAAGTTGGATGTCCTTGGGCATGATGGTGACTCGCTTGGCATGAATAGCGCACAAGTTGGTGTCTTCGAAAAGGCCGACGAGGTAAGCCTCGCTAGCTTCCTGAAGAGCCATCACTGCCGAGCTTTGGAAACGCAAGTCGGTTTTGAAATCTTGAGCGATTTCACGGACCAATCGCTGGAAGGGCAGTTTGCGGATGAGAAGCTCGGTGCTCTTCTGGTAACGTCTGATCTCACGAAGAGCGACGGTGCCGGGCCTGTAGCGATGCGGCTTCTTGACTCCTCCGGTGGCTGGGGCACTCTTGCGAGCGGCCTTGGTAGCCAACTGCTTACGCGGAGCCTTGCCTCCTGTCGATTTACGAGCGGTCTGCTTGGTACGAGCCATGGCAACAAGTTATCGTCGTGAATACTCACAGAATAATGATGTTAAACGCGCCGGCTCTATGTTTTTATACTAACGCGCGACACGACTGCCGAGCCAACAGCGGTAGAGCGGGGAGATTCGTGCGGTACCGGAGGGGGGAGTTGTTATACATCGAGAGTAGGGACAGCAGCATATGCCGGTATAAATACACTAGTCTTTCTCTTCTTTGCATCAGTTGTCTTGTCGCTCTGCTCAGTACAACGTAAATTCAAAAATGACTGGACGTGGAAAGGGAGGCAAAGGATTGGGAAAAGGAGGAGCTAAGCGCCATCGCAAAGTTCTTCGTGACAACATCCAAGGTATCACTAAGCCAGCAATCCGTCGTCTTGCTCGCCGTGGTGGTGTCAAGCGTATCTCCGGACTTATTTACGAAGAGACCCGTGGTGTTCTCAAGGTTTTCTTGGAGAATGTCATCCGTGACGCTGTCACTTACACCGAGCACGCCAAACGCAAGACAGTCACCGCCATGGACGTAGTCTACGCACTCAAGCGTCAAGGCCGCACTCTCTACGGTTTCGGAGGTTAAATCTCACCTCGTCATAAACAATCGGCCCTTTTCAGGGCCACCAAATGTTTAACGTAGATTAACTATCCGACAATGTAACAAAATGCCGTTATACGAATGTTGGTCATTGTATAATTTTATAGTAACTTTAAAAAAGCGTTACTTTATTCCATTAATAATTGATACCCTTCATAGACATGAAATATCGCGTTCTTACATACAGATGATTCGCATTTCTACTATCAAATCATATTTAGTCCTTGCTCTAATCGAAAACTTGTCCACATCTCTTGGTAGTAAAGATTTCTTCGCCTTGTGAAGGTAACCGAAATTGTAACATGATCTGTACAAAAATTTATAATTTCAGAAAACGACTAGCATTAAATCTGATTCGAACTCTGATCTTCACAAAATTATTAACTTGCTAGAAATGTTATTTTATCGTGGAGCGATCCGCACCGAAATCACAGAAGTAGATAACTCAATTTCAGACATCTATGATGAACAAATGTTAAATATTCGACTAAATGAGACGTTAGTATAAGTAAAGTGCAAATGTAGAATCAGTTGCCATATAAGTGATACATTTATAACACCTTAGATTGGGAGCTTCCTTACAAACCCACTATTATAAACAGTGCGACTTGAAAGCACAGAGCCTATGAAGCTCAATCGATCACCCAAACAAATCAAATAAGATTAGATTTCTAAACAATTAGAAGAATAAACATCCAATTTAGCCACTCTTCATTACAATGTCGCGTTAAAAGTATCAGCTAATTTATGTCGAATTAGAATTTCAAATTTCATAACCAAGTTTATGTGGTCAAACCGTTAATTTAATTTTTAACTATGTATTTTAACCGTTCATTTCAAGTTATAACTTGACTAATATTGGCAAATGACTTTTCAAGACAAGCATAAACATGTATATATCGTATGTACATAATCGTAGGTATATCGTGCATACATACACGTATGAAGTTGAGAATCGTAAAAAGCATGAAACTTTTAATGGCATTTAATGGAGTTCATATTATGGTCGCATGAATGAGTTTCAGACAAGCAATTTTTGAATTACGTAAATAAATTATGGGTCACCTTGATAAATATACACTTTATCTGTTAATCGTTGAGTCAAATTATAAGTTATTGAAGTTGAAAATATTTCATAATAGTTACTGTACGAAAGAAATCGATAAACAATTTTATCATGAGGGCATAACCAATTCGATGTCTTTTTTTGGACAGTATTTGATATTCAAAACATACCTTGCTAGGTTCGTTTCGATAAGTATATTCTGAAAACTTCGAGTTCTCTTATTGCTATCTACCATTCGTTTTAATTGTACTAGAACTTTATTAATTTGGTATTGTTTTTTTTCTTAGTGATATTTCACTTAAAAATTGAACATTATTTATTTAGGTGTTGAAGCTTTAAAGAGAGTGAACCAACGTTAAAATTTGGTGGCCCTGAAAAGGGCCGATGGTAACTGATGAATTAATTTAAGCTTTTTTTTCTGTCTTTTTGGGTAAGAGAACAGCTTGGATGTTGGGCAACACACCACCCTGGGCAATGGTAACGCCAGACAAGAGTTTGTTCAACTCTTCGTCATTGCGGATGGCCAGCTGAAGATGTCTGGGGATAATCCTGGTCTTCTTGTTGTCACGAGCGGCATTGCCAGCCAACTCGAGAACTTCAGCGGCCAAGTACTCCATGACAGCAGCCAAGTAGACTGGAGCTCCGGCTCCTACTCGCTCGGCGTAGTTTCCTTTACGGAGCAGACGATGGATTCTGCCGACTGGGAATTGAAGTCCAGCGCGAGTTGAACGAGTCTTTGACTTGCCCTTGGCTTTGCCAGCACCACCTTTGCCACGTCCTGACATGTTTTGATTGGTATAAGAGACGTTTACACGTGAACGATCAAAGATCGAATGAAGAATATGAGCAATGCGTGTAAGTATTTATATGACGATCTAGATGGCGCGCGAACAGATGTTCACTAGTCCTAAGCGCGTGAGTATGGAGGGGATGCTACACTGAGTCGCGCGCCGCACAGCCACTCATATAAATACAGACTGCAAACCCTTGTCTCCTCATTCTTTCGTATTCTCTCGAGTTCGCAAGACCCCTACTCTCGCCATGGCACCTAAAACTAGCGGCAAAGCTGTCAAGAAGTCTGGCAAAGCACAGAAAAATATTTCCAAGAGCGACAAGAAAGGCAAGAAGAAGAGGAGGAAGGAGAGTTACGCTATCTACATCTACAAAGTACTGAAGCAGGTTCACCCTGACACCGGTGTGTCCTCCAAGGCCATGAGCATCATGAACAGCTTCGTCAATGACATCTTCGAGCGTATCGCCGCCGAAGCTTCCCGCTTGGCTCACTACAACAAGAGATCGACCATCACCTCCCGGGAGATCCAAACTGCCGTCAGGCTTCTCTTGCCTGGTGAGCTCGCCAAGCACGCTGTCTCTGAAGGCACCAAGGCCGTCACTAAGTACACGAGCTCGAAATAATTTGGACTATAAAACTTTGAATAAATCGGCCCTTCTCAGGGCCACCATTCATTCTCGTAAGAACATGACTTTCATATGCACTACATTTATACCAATTCTAACATGATGAAAATATAATGTGTTTATTATCATGAACCTTGATTACATTCGTAACGCATCTATTCCATAACCGTAGTCAAACAAAAGTGGCACTAATATGACCTATAAATTCGAATTGAACCCAATAGTCGATGTTCGACTCGTTTTAGAAACTTAATTTTCAGTACTCAAAGATTCAGGAGAAATATTGACAATATCGCAATCGCTATTTTTATAAAGTAAAATATTTTATTGGTGTTGGATATAGCTATCGTAAGCATCATCTGTAGTAAGATTATGCACAATCATTTAAAAACGAAGTAGCCGTAATACTTAATCTTTGTAAAGGGTCATGAAAAACTTGATCATTTTTCGCTTCTTGACTAAAATTTTTTTGGTAAATGACGGTTATTGGTGTCATGGCTCGTTTGAAAAAATATTTTGATTTATACATTCAATTTTTGAATTTAAGGTTTTAATCAAATTTTATTTATAATCAACTGACTTATTGATAAGAGTTTCATAGACTGCGGAAAATCTGAGTGTGAAGAAATGTTTAGAATTATACGTCATTAGCATTTTTCAAATTAAAATAATTCCGTTCTTAATTTTTCTACTTCATAAAATTTTCAATTTAAAGTTTATGAGTAGAAGAAACAAGTAAAATGAAAGAATTACGGAAATTACGAGACATTCTAAAATGGAAGGAGGAAAAATTCAAATAAGAATGACATTTTGTTTTGACATCAACAATTGTATTTCTTATTAAATATTTATAAGAACACTTATTATATGATTTTTATATTTAAGCGCAATACTCGGACATTGAATTACCGCTGCAATTGTAAAACGGATCTATTAAGACTTGTAAAAACCAAAGGCATGTTAAAATATCGTAAATTAAATTTACTATCTTCACAAAAATATTGCACAAAACATTATAGATGTAAAAATTGAATTCAAAAGAGTTGCTCATTCAATTTAATGCCAAAATTTTACTATCACAGTTCCGTTTTACATTACAAATGTTCATGTTAATATTGCATGGGTTTGAGGTCAATAAGTGCTTATATTTTCACAAATATGATCATGTATATTGTGATTTACAATTAAAATTCATGCTCAAAATAATGATCTCATCTAGTATAATGAATTAACGATAATATATTAAATACTCATTATTAATGTATTTAGAAAGAAAAAAAGAAAAAAGAGGTTTTATTCAAGGAAAATGAAAACTCATGTACACTTTTGGAGCTTAAATCGTTTAATAAGGAAATCTTTGTACAGAAAGCAATAAAAACAAACGCAAAATATTTTTGAGTTATAATCTTGTCAATATTTTGATGGGTAATGCTAGAAGTACTGACATAGCTTAGTAGTTTCTAGAATTATTATTAGTTTGTTCGCACGTATATTTACCGCCAGGATCACGAGAACAATTAATTTTTATATTGACTCTTCAACGAAAAAAGTTTTTTTTTCATTTCTTTTTAATGAGTGCATGAAATAATACATAAGAATTTCATAGAGTTAGTTTTTACAGGGGATTTTCAGATCATTCTACATAAAAATTTATTTTTATGAACCTTATCCATTCTCTTGGTTTTCAGTTGCTTGTAATTTCGATCCTGCAATTTTGAGTAAAACAACGAGTTTGCAAATACTTTCTGTTTTTATATGTATGGGCATTTACGAACTTCTAAATACATTCATTTTCTTCAAAAAATGATTTATTATCCCGTTCATTTTAGTAACTCTGAACTTTTTTCTAAATAATCGATAAACAATAATAACTACGTTCATAATTCGTAATTATTGGTTGGAGGCTTCGTGATTGTTTGGCAAAGTCACTCACTGTTGAGCGTCGATTGCTGCAGGTATTACTTTTTTTAAAAAAATTTAGTTTTGATTGTTCTTACAAGAATACCTTGCAATTGAATTGATTAAACCGCTGTTTTTTCTGTGATACGTAATTAAGATTGGTGAAATTTCATTTGATTAAAATAATCGGTTACATTTTTAAAATCTCTAACAAGACATATTTTTTCTAAAAATGAACCAGCCGCTGAAACACGTAAGCAATTTTGCCGTTCATATAACACGAAGTAATAATATATTTATACCTCTTTATGTAATAATAGTAATCATAATAATCATATCAATAATATATTCATATTTAATATACCATAAAACGTTATCGGTATATAATACAATATCGACTATCATTCAATTATCTCGAGTCTTATACTATGAATCTATATCAAATAGTTTTTATTTGTATGTACAATAAGAATGTGAAAAAAGGGGGACTTAATGTAATAAGCCCATCTGAAAACGTTATTGAAATAAATAATATAGATTTTATTGAACGATAAGAGAACATATCACGAGAGAAAAAAGAGCATCATAGGCGCGTGAACTCGCTTCTGATAGTTACCAATTTAATGCAGGAATCATATTAGAATTTACTGCTATGTATGACACTTTAAAAAGTGGTTTTTACATTTCAGTAGAGAATTAAATAGGTACTCGGAATTGTGAGCAAACTAAAGGAAAATTAAATGCAGATAACACTTCTAAGTTTTATCAATGGGCGATGCTGAATTTATTATCAAGGAAAAAGTGATAGTGATGAATGTAAAAATAAAATTTCTAAAAACAACTCACAACTACAAGATTTTTCTAATTATTAATTTTTATTTAGCAACTGTCTAACATGTCGAAACAAATTATTGAACGTGCTCATTATATATAATTGAGCAAAAGTAATACTATAATTTTTATGAAAAAGTTAACATTTCAATCTCTACAATCATGTATTTTAAAAGTAATCGAATTTAAAGATAGTACAATATCGTATCTAATCCATTTTTACCGTAATGGTCCGGTCTGTACGTAATTTATTTTACACTAATATATGCATTATTTTTCGTTCCATTACACCTATATTTATATATTTATATAAATAATTTATACGTATGTTTTTATGTATATGTTTAAACCCCATGATCAGGGTCATTGATTTAGTGGGAAAGTGGCGAGAGCTCAGGAACATATATTATCAATATCTATTGCAATAATTACGTCGCATTTTTTATCTCGTAATACATTTATTTTACTCTACTTTTTTCTCACTTAATAATGCGCTCTCGCCGTCAAATGCCGCAACATATTGAAAAAAAAAAATACAAAAAAAAAAGATACATTCAACAAATCTTAAAATAAAAAAAAAGTATAAACAATCGTTTGACTTAATTTTAAACGAATGACCAATGACATTTGTGATTTGAAAAATCATAAAATCAAAAATAGTTGTTATACAGACTTTAAAGTTAGAATGTATTCATATTTTTGACATTTTTCTATCTCACATGTATGATTGGTTAATACTCATTCGTCTGAAAGATTTCGTGTTTTAATCACATTTAACTAAGTTAAACTTGGATTTTGTTTATTCATTCTTTTTTATTAGTTTCGAAGAAATCTCGGGGCTAATCTTGGAATCGTCGTAACGTGCATTTTTTCGTTTATTTACACTGCATATGATTTTTTTTTAATTTTACGTCATATGTTGCATCCAAGATGAAATATTTCCTCTTCACTCAATTTTAATAATATGTTACTCTCTTTTTTCTCTCGACATGTTCTTACTGAATAGTTTTAATGAAAAAATTAACACAAATAGGAAAAAATATCTACTACGTATACACAACGCATGTACCCGTTTACGCAGCTATTAGCTTAAATCTTACAACATTTAAATTTAACTTTATGCCACAGACTGTTTGTGACAATTCGCCTCTGTTTTCCGTATCAACAAAAAAATTATTAAATAAATAAACGGTACGTGCTGCTTACGGCCACGAATTTTGATTAAAATTTTTATAACTGTTAAGAAGAAGAAAATAACAGTGTCGATACTTTGTTGCTTCAAGCTTAGCTTAGCTCTATTTACACGGTCTTTTAAGACTCGATTTTCATTTCAGTCGACGACGGGAATCATTTTCAAATCTATACTGCGCAGCTGTAGTAGATATCCTCAGTTCGTTCAGTAAGCTGCATTCGATTACTCGTTCGCTTTTGCTAGATTTACTTATGAAATATTTCAGCGTACTTATTTTACTGCATTATAAGTCTGTGGTGGATTTTGGTTAGTCGGAACCCAGTTATGAAAAACATCTCTAAAAATAAAATATCATTGTTATAATAATTCTGAATATAGTGAATTGAAAATATAATAATCTATATTTATCTCGAACATACCTGCAATGACTAACCACGCATTCATTACTACAATATTCATCTTCCCACTCATTATTAGTTATAGCCAGATTCTGGCAGCCGTGACGAATGCATGGATGTGTTGGCTGAGGTGGCTGTGGTGGCTGCTGTTGATTTAGCTGTTGTTGAACCATTTGCTGCTGATTTAACTGATTTAACTGTTGCTGTTGAGGCATTGGTTGTTGAGCTTGTTGAAGCCTCATTTGAGGAGGGGGGCTCGATAAAGGCTCGCTACCCCGAGGTGGACTCATGTGCATCATCGGCTGTTGCTGTGACTGTACTTGCTGAGGCACCTGTAAAATGAAAAAAATTAGTTATGCAGGGCTTCTAACAATTTTTCGCGCATTCATGTCAATTACACGTTGTAATTTGAGCGTTCATGAAAGTTATATAGCGTACAATTAAAAAGCATACTATTCATGAAAAGAATTAAAATTATTATTTATTTATTTATTTATGAGACAAATTACAGAAATGATATTATTTTTAAAACTGAAAAAAGTGTTTGGCGTCTATTTTGAGAGTTCCAAATGAGTTTGACGCCAGTTGCTACACTTCCCGCTTAAAACACTCTTTAGTGAAACATGTTTCATGGAGAGGAAGGGATTTCTTGCTTCTCATTGGCTAAAAATACAGCTATTATGCCATTTTGGCCTCGATTGTATACAAAAAAGTCTATTACTGTTGTTTTTTTTTTGTTGCACGACAAAGATCCTACTGGTGAAAGTATATAATATTCTGATTGTTTAAAAGAGAGAGCATTGGAAAATGAACTTCTTTTCGATTTATATAATTGTTCTAAATTTTAATGAATTTTCCAAGCCTCATTTACCATATAGTGAAATTCAGTGTGAATTTAAAATTTTGAAAAAAAATTGAAAATTTGTCAGCTGAATGTATTGTTGAAATGATAGAATATAATGCAGAATTACATTCCGCAAATAACATACAGGAGTGTAAAAAAAAGAAAATCAACTGACATTTCGCGAGAACACAAGAGTCTCTTTATCTCGTCGGTCGCGTCGGAACCAATAAAGAAAAGGGACGAGAATATAACAAAAACTCGCGAGTGTACACTAAAGAACGAAAAAAAAAGTTGGTTACAATGCGAGTCGAGAGAAAAGAGATTGAATGCACTAAACATGTGTGCGCGTACGCAAGTGTGTGTGCGAGTGTGTAAAGCACAAAAAGAACCTGCGTAATACGATCCAATCTTTACACGTTTTCATGTGCAGAAACGATCGTTTAAGCCTGTTTCTTACAAATCGTCCTTCCCTCTTTACATGCCTTTCTTACGCTATTCTTTTATTTTGTCTTTTACGCATACACATTTATATACACTACATAATAATATACATTTTTCATTCTTTCGTGTCTCATATTGGACTTTTCTGTTAACGATCAAAATCGCTTCAAGAACGTCATAAAAAAAGAATAAAGTCCAATACACCTTTTCTTACTTTATTTCGTTTACAAATAATTTTATTCACGAATTCAATTTTACTTTAAAACGAAGAAAATTATAAAAGTCAGTTATTATAAATTAGTGAATAAAAAATTAAATTTTGAAATAAAAGTAGAATGACGAAATAAAAAAGTTCATGATAAAATTACCCAGAGAAAAGTGTAATGGAAATAATTCACTATTGTATTGGTGTTCGAGAGATGATATTGTATGCGCTGTAGGAACGGACTTCCACGCAATGCATATACAATGTATACATATATATTTATATAGATCTGAAGGGTTCACTGACCTGCTGCATGTACTGCTGCGCTTGCTGCTGCGAGACCTGCTGCTGCTGTTGCAAGTGCTGCTGTGCCATGTGAGGTGGCGGTGCCATCGGATTTGCCATCATTGCCTGCAAAAATAAAATTCATTTTAGCTTCGTTTTAAAACAAACGACAATATTTAAAATTTTCTAAAATTACGTCCTAATGAAATTACTGTCTGTACACGTATAATTTAGAAAGAATGTTGAATACAGATTTACTTTCATACATTTACAACTCGTTACATATCGTTATGCACTCGTGTGTGACTTACTCAAAATTCAGGTAAATACTAACCAGAGCGATTGAAAAACCAAATCTATAAATTTCCGAGTTTCGTAGAAGAATATATCAACGTTTGCGCAGCCCGTGTCGACATTCAAATTGCAAAATAGCGAAGATATTAAAGGGATTTATATTTTCGACTTATTGTACAGTTATAAGACTCGCGTTGTTCTTCATTTTGAAATGTGCTCATTAAGATCTACGACTGAAGTGCTTAAAAGAGAACTCCTGCAGCTTTTCGTGCATCAAATGTCTTTCAAACTTAATAGCAAAACAGATTGTCAGTGTGAGGAAAATGTTTAATACAAGAGGATTTTTGTAGTTGAGCTTCTCGAAAAGTTCTTTCAAAACATCTACCTACATTGTTACTCTGAAAAGTACATTTTTTCGCTTTTGAGTAACAGCAGTATATTTATACACATGACTTTATTGATTCTAAAAGTTGAAACGTGTACATCTTTCAAGCAACTTTTTATCGTCATTTAAGTTTGCAAAAAATTGTCTTTGCTTTTTGTATTCAATTTAATTTTCTGTTATTCAATGTATACGAGTAGTAATTTAATGCAAGGCTAAACAATTAAATTATGTCTTATTGAATAAAACTGGATACTCGACTTTACATTGCGCTGCATACTTTTCTTCGCTTAAATATCATCAAATTACATTACCCAGCGAAAAATATTTTGAATCAACGAACTTTTACATGAAAATAAAATAAGAGTCAATACCAATGATTAATCAAGTGAAAACAAAAAATGTATGGGCTCTTATAAAAACTCAATTAAGCATAATGAGAATTAAACCAAGGGTAAAGGATGGAGAGATTGAAACGCCAGTAATAGTAAACTCGATTAAAATTTAATTAGCGTGTCAAAACAGTCTCTAGCTACCGGTATAGCGTGAGCAAGCAATTCTATTGATTTCATTTAATTTAGAGTTTTATTCAATTGATAGTAAGAAATGATATTTTCTTGTCATTAAAATTAGAATCAATGAAACATCTATATTTTCCAACAAAAATAATAAATACGAGGTGCTTTTGCATACTAAATAAATATTGACACTCTTCGTCATCGGAATCCCTTTTATTATATAATATCAAAGCTCCGAACGTTATATTGACATTGAATTCAAAGCTTGCGGAACGTAGTACCTTAAAATAAGCAAGGAGGGATGCATATATATTTTCTCATACGTTACAAATCATGATTTTCTTCTTCCTTTGATAAATTTTACTTGTAATTACTATTTACACGCTGTTAATTGGCAATTCAATCCACAAAATACCTTTATACATAATATCGTCGCCCCAGCGCAAAAACCGCACTAATAAAGTCGAGAGGCAAAAACATGCCTTAATCGCGGGCGACAGCATAGCGAGTGCTTAGTGGCGCTCAGCGGCAAGAACGTGTCTTATTTGAGCGCAGCGGCAAGAAGGTGTCTAATCGGCGCCGAATCTTTTGCGCTTCGATTTTAAGTTGGCAGCACTGTTATACATCACCAGCTCAACTCGGCAGAGTTACGCGCTTTTGCCTTCGTCTGCAGTTCACTGTTTGTATATCACTGTTTGTATTGAAAATGTATGGTCGTTGCGTTGTGCTGTGTCGCTGCATCAAGTCAAACAGGTAAGTATGAATTGTTCATCTAGTTTCTAATATAATTATTTGTTGCAATTCTATATCTAACCTTAAACAAAACGATACTGTTGCAATACTTTGTTGCAATTTCTATAATACTCTTTCTATATTTCATATTCTTCTTTATATAATCTTACTAATAAGTTACCTATTTTTGCAACTTCTAATGTTTTTTTTGTGTTGCATATGACTGGTGGCAATTGCATCCAGAGTATGCGAAGAAGCAGGTAGCAGGCAAAAATAATTTGAATGCTGTGTCAAAGACAGCAACGACCATAACAGTTGCAGCATCAATAACAACAGCAACAACATCAAGCTCAACAAAGACAGCAACGACAATAACAGAGGCAGCATCAACAACAACAGCAACAACAAGCTCAGCTGTCAAAAGGGTTGGTTTGAGAGTTTAAGGCATAAAGAGTCGATCAAGACTGAGATAGACACAAATGCTGTCAGTACAAACGCAACACCTCAGATCTGTTCACAGTTTGTGCAAAACAGTTCTGAGGTATAGAGTTTGTACGTTGCCAATACAATTTTCAACTATGACTCAGTTCCTTTAGATTATTTTTTTTTTGCAAATAAAACTTATGTTTACAAAATATTCATATTATTCAATTATATATCAAACAATTATATTTATAAGTTTGGATCTGCTTTTTCAATAATGTTTACAATAATTGTTGTTCAAAAACAGTTCTGCGGTGTCGAGTTTGTATAGTGCCAATATAATTTTTAACTATGACTCAATTCCTTCAGATTATTTATTTTGTAAATAAAACTTATGTTTACAAAATATTCAAATTATTTCATTGTGTGGCACAAACAATTATATTTATTAAGTTTGGATCTGCTTTTTTAATAATGTGTAGAATAATTCAATTTGTTCAAAAATAGGCAAAGTTAGTTTGTATTATAGTTTCGCATAGTTAATGTATTTTTTTCTTATATATAAAAATGATTTGTACTTTTTTTACAGCACTTTGTACGTACAACTTGTAATTATTATTGTATATATTGAAAATAATTTAGAAAAAATATTTTTTCATATACTTATATTACCTAAAAACATTAAATAAAATTTGTTTTACAATTTGTATTTTCTATATTCAATAGAAAGACTTGTTTTATTATTTATATATATACTAACTTGTAAAAGTGATATTCGTTTCTGATCGCCATCAAATTTTTTAATTGTTTTCATTAATTTATCACTATTTTTAGAAAAAAGAATTTTATAATTTAAAATATGCGTTCGAATAACGATCTAAATTGTAAAAGACCACTATTTAATGTACGATGCACATATCAAAGGGCCGTTGGTGAAAATTTGAATTTTTGTTCGATTATTCAAACTATGATCAGCATCGTGACAAGCTCAGTTGCTTATGATACGTGGATTTAACATTTGCTTTCAAATAACGATCTGCGTTGTGAGAGATCAGTAGCTCAGTGTACGATGCATATATCGAAGGGCCGTTGGTAAAATTTTGAATTAGTGTTCGATTATTCAAACGATCAGTATCGCGAATAGCTCAGTCGTTCATCATTCGTGGATCAGTGCACTTAACCAAGGTGTTCACACAATTGGTTTTTTTCAATTGTCGTTTAAGTTCCATAATAATATTAAAAAAAAATGAGTGGAAGTCAAGAATNTGATGAACGACTGAGCTATTCGCGATACTGATCGTTTGAATAATCGAACACTAATTCAAAATTTTACCAACGGCCCTTCGATATATGCATCGTACACTGAGCTACTGATCTCTCACAACGCAGATCGTTATTTGAAAGCAAATGTTAAATCCACGTATCATAAGCAACTGAGCTTGTCACGATGCTGATCATAGTTTGAATAATCGAACAAAAATTCAAATTTTCACCAACGGCCCTTTGATATGTGCATCGTACATTAAATAGTGGTCTTTTACAATTTAGATCGTTATTCGAACGCATATTTTAAATTATAAAATTCTTTTTTCTAAAAATAGTGATAAATTAATGAAAACAATTAAAAAATTTGATGGCGATCAGAAACGAATATCACTTTTACAAGTTAGTATATATATAAATAATAAAACAAGTCTTTCTATTGAATATAGAAAATACAAATTGTAAAACAAATTTTATTTAATGTTTTTAGGTAATATAAGTATATGAAAAAATATTTTTTCTAAATTATTTTCAATATATACAATAATAATTACAAGTTGTACGTACAAAGTGCTGTAAAAAAAGTACAAATCATTTTTATATATAAGAAAAAAATACATTAACTATGCGAAACTATAATACAAACTAACTTTGCCTATTTTTGAACAAATTGAATTATTCTACACATTATTAAAAAAGCAGATCCAAACTTAATAAATATAATTGTTTGTGCCACACAATGAAATAATTTGAATATTTTGTAAACATAAGTTTTATTTACAAAATAAATAATCTGAAGGAATTGAGTCATAGTTAAAAATTATATTGGCACTATACAAACTCGACACCGCAGAACTGTTTTTGAACAACAATTATTGTAAACATTATTGAAAAAGCAGATCCAAACTTATAAATATAATTGTTTGATATATAATTGAATAATATGAATATTTTGTAAACATAAGTTTTATTTGCAAAAAAAAAATAATCTAAAGGAACTGAGTCATAGTTGAAAATTGTATTGGCAACGTACAAACTCTATACCTCAGAACTGTTTTGCACAAACTGTGAACAGATCTGAGGTGTTGCGTTTGTACTGACAGCATTTGTGTCTATCTCAGTCTTGATCGACTCTTTATGCCTTAAACTCTCAAACCAACCCTTTTGACAGCTGAGCTTGTTGTTGCTGTTGTTGTTGATGCTGCCTCTGTTATTGTCGTTGCTGTCTTTGTTGAGCTTGATGTTGTTGCTGTTGTTATTGATGCTGCAACTGTTATGGTCGTTGCTGTCTTTGACACAGCATTCAAATTATTTTTGCCTGCTACCTGCTTCTTCGCATACTCTGGATGCAATTGCCACCAGTCATATGCAACACAAAAAAAACATTAGAAGTTGCAAAAATAGGTAACTTATTAGTAAGATTATATAAAGAAGAATATGAAATATAGAAAGAGTATTATAGAAATTGCAACAAAGTATTGCAACAGTATCGTTTTGTTTAAGGTTAGATATAGAATTGCAACAAATAATTATATTAGAAACTAGATGAACAATTCATACTTACCTGTTTGACTTGATGCAGCGACACAGCACAACGCAACGACCATACATTTTCAATACAAACAGTGATATACAAACAGTGAACTGCAGACGAAGGCAAAAGCGCGTGACTCTGCCGAGTTGAGCTGGTGATGTCTAACAGTGCTGCCAACTTAAAATCGAAGCGCAAAAGATTCGGCGCCGATTAGACACCTTCTTGCCGCTGCGCTCAAATAAGACACGTTCTTGCCGCTGAGCGCCACTAAGCACTCGCTATGCTGTCGCCCGCGATTAAGGCATGTTTTTGCCTCTCGACTTTATTAGTGCGGTTTTTGCGCTGGGGCGACGATATATTATGTATGCAGTCTATTCCTTATGTAGCAAAATAACTGCTATAATTATGTCGAGCTTCTCTTTATCTATCTTCCTCTACTACCTGCTAATTTATCAAGCTTCATATTTCTGGGTTTATCCCGCAGTGAATATTAATAATCTAGAGCTTTATTTTCAGAGTGGATATTAAATACGAAACTCCACCTTGTCGTTCATCTTAAAATTAATTCAACTCTTATGAAAAGATTTGGTAGTTTATTTATTAGAAAAAAGGCATAAACATAATACTTGAATTTATAACAACAGACTATTGAATTAACTGTGATGATTTTTTGCTCTTTTTTTTTATCAATTTTTGATCAGATACATTATATGTTTATATCAGGCTTTGTTTACAAAACATTCAAGAAATGTATTTAACATAGCTATAAATTTTAAAATTTAAAATTATTATTGTACGATAATAAATTTCTCAATCTTACCTGTTGGTGTGGACTCGGTTGCATGTGCGCATTTGGAGAAAGATGATGAGGTGATTTTTTGATCGCGTTCATTTGCTGTTGCTGTTGAGGTGAGGGCGGTTGTGGACTATAAACCTGATAAGGAACTTGACCAGGTGTGACTTGACCACTTGGAGCGCCGTAAGGAGCAACGTAACTACCGTACGCAACTTGTTGTTGCTGTTGAACTTGTTGTTGCTGCTGCTGGACCACCTGCTGCTGTTGCTGAACTTGTTGCTGTTGCTGAGCTTGTTGCTGAGCTTGTTGAGCAGCCTGCTGTTGAGCTTGTTGTTGGGCTTGTTGGGCAGCTTGTTGCTCCTCGCCACTCTTTTGAACTAGCGAGGCTCGATAGGCTGCAAGGGCTTTCAAATATTCCTTTTTAGCGGCTTCTGTTTTCTTTTTGTATACCTAGAGAATAAATTTGAAAACAAGATAAATATTTTTTCCATTCAATGTAAACAAAAAAATTGGTATTTAATTTAGCACAAATTAAAGCCTGTAACTTTTTTCGGATATATTTTTAATTTAGTTGGTCTATACAGTGTTTATTGAAAACGATACCTTGAAGTGTGAGATCGAATGAAAATATTGTTATTAAAATTTGAACATATCAATAATTTATCTCTAACAATAGATTGTAAATAATTTTAATAGTACAAGAAAATATTTTTTCTTTAGTTTGGGTGGCAACCAATATGTGAAAATAGACATTTTAATTATGCTTTAAACTTGAACTTATGATAAGAAAATCATTTTAAGTGAATGATTGCTAATATTTTGAGAAAATATATTTTTGATGTTTTAACTTAAAAGTTTTAGTAACCGTGAAAGCACATAAACATAATAATATTACAAATTTCATTTCCTTCAGAGAATCATTTATGTTTACAGTAATATCTTGTAGTTAACTACAGTTATTGTAAATATTTTTTAAGCTTGAAGATGATTGCAGGTAATGATTGGTTATAATTAAATGTTCACTAAGAGTATCTTCATAATTAACATAGTCGTTTTTTCTATCCTCGCTGGCTCATATAATTACAATTACGCCTGAAACTTTTAAGCAACGAGTGTGTATGTAAAAAAATCGATCGATTAAGTAATGACACGAGTTCTACGCTGTAAAAAGAAAGAGAACTAGTGATTTAAATTGCAAACGACGCTTTAATTACATGAAAAAGAGAGATAGAATGAGAAAGAAAGAGCGAAAGAAAGAGGGAGAATGAGGGGGGGGAGGGGAGGGAGTGAAAAATGCACGGGTTGCGCTATTACTTGTGAAATAATCATAAATTGCTCACGGAAATTACAATGGATGGGCTAATTGCGAATGGGAATGGGATAGAGAGAGGGAGAGTCAGAAGAGAGGAGAAGGAAGAGGAAAGACAGAGATAATCAGCTGAAATTGGATGTGTTCGTGAAACCTTTTGAGCTTGAAAAGTAATTTTTTTGTCTAAATTAACCCAGAATAAATCAAAAGGATATTATGTTCATAAAGAATTTCTTTTTTTATATATATTTATCATTTCTGCGACAAGACTTCGTAGGTTAAAATCATGCATCCGAATTTTGTAAGTTTTATTTCAAAGATAAAAAATATAAAATAAAAAGTATGATCATGTTAGTGTGTGTGCGTGTGGGTGTGTGTTGCATGATCGCATATTAGATAGAAGATCGTTATGAAAAATAATGTTCTATTCACAGCGGAAAACCTCTCTGTGCTGTTTGGCTTAACTTTGTTGAACAAAGACATCATTTATCGTCCTTGATAGAACAAGAGGAAGAGAGGGAAATAAGATAGAGTGGAGGGAAAAAAGACACAGCACACGCGCACATGAAATGAAAGCAAATTCAAAATCGATAAAGTCAAGCTTAAAGTCTTATAAATAGTGAATTACATTACACTATATGGGGAATTCTCTGAATAAATGATAATTAATGTCCTGCAAGAAAACAGTTTCATTTTCATTCAATTTGTCAGGCACACATGAACGCATTTTAAAGGCATCAACTTTTTTAGTTTTCATTTGGGAATCAGGGTTAACTGTATTAAATATTACAATAGTCTCTAAACATTTTGCATTTCAATACAACCGCTTTGAAAATTCCCTGTTCAACTTCGTGTTCTTTATATGCATTAAGAAAAGACCAAATTTCTGTTGTTTTGTGGCGTTAAATTAGTATAAAATTTATTTTTACATATCGATATATTTTCGAATTCAATGGTCAAAGTTTGCCGATTTCTACAGAATTACTCATATATCAAGTCGCTCATTCATCGTGGAAATAGATGAAATTTATTTGCTTTTATTTTTACTATTTTTTTTATTTTATTCGTAAATTATTCAGTTTGATATTTCGAGCAAAAAGCTATACCATATACATATTGCTATGCGCGGAGAAAATTTAATAACATTTCGAGGAAATTCTTGAGAGATAATGTATATAATAAATTCTGAATAAAGAGACGATAAATAATAAAATTAAGTGATGCTAGCATGATATATAATATTTGATATATCAAGGATCATCTGATTAAAATGAAGCAAAACTTCCATTATTTTAGCCTAAAATGTCTTCCTCTGCTTGCAATATATATTGTTTCATATATATACGTACACAGATGCAGACTATTTCATACACGTATACATAGTTTGATCAAAATTCATGACTCACGGCTGTCGCACAGTCCCCCCTTCCTCTTACTTATTCATAAATAACTCAATTACACATAAAACCACGAGTGGCTTTGTGCGTATCAGGATGTTACTTTATTACAATCGTGATAAAGTGTAATTCAAAAACACATACACACTCACTCATATGTGCAGCCTTTTCAGCAGATGTATCTTATGGATGTATTGTATCTCTCAATTACGTATACCCTGAATATTGCAGGATCTAATTACCGATATGACCAATAATACTAACTTTTTGACTCATGTAAAACACTAGAAGAGTCGAAAAGATAAAACTTAGCAAACGATATTTTGAATAATATGATAATGCAAAATTTTGTAGAGTCTTTTTCAAGATGAAAAAAAATTTATTGATTTCTTTAGTAAAATATATTTTCAAGTTGATAACGCAATTTCATATTGCATAAATTAGTCGAAAAAACTGTGCACTCCAATTTCATTGGAGTGGTGATGTTTTGCAATAGAAATTATAAAAGAACCATTGCAAAATTTTCAATATAATCGTTTGTTTGTCAACTACAGTATTGCACGCCAGTTTCGTAATATGCATAATACTCAGTTATATTCGGAGAATTGCGTGATATACATTATACGATTTTCATTATTCTTATCAGGCCTGTATTTTTGTTATTGGCGAACATATGCATAAATATATTTGATATTCAAATCGAGTACGAAATCAGAACTATATAGTATAGAGCGCAAAGCATACAACAACGCAAGCATACACTCACGGACAATCTTGCATTAAACTGTATAAAATGAATCCAGGTTAATGCGCCAGATATAGAACTCGTTTTAATAATAGAACTTGATTGAGATCGAGTTTTTTGCTCTCTTTTATTGCCGAGATATATATATACAGGGCAACAAATAGATTCCAACCAGCTATTCGGTAGATAAGACACGAATCTTTTTCTTTCGGGAATACACATACACACGCACACATATACCCAAACATTTTACGATCATTCTCTGAGCAACAGCGAGCGAATTTACCTGCGCGCGGAGATCCTTTCATGATTATTATTCAAAAACATAAAGATTTTTTATTGTAATTAAATATAATTTAAGCTCAGAGCACTGCACTATCTTGCTTAAGAAATCACTAAAATAGCAGCTCAATGAAACATTTCTTTCATTAGCTAGAGGATAAATCGGCGAGTTCTCATCGATATAATCAGCTAAACACGTATGGCTGCTGCAAATAATAAGTTCCAAACGAATTTCATTATTTCGCAAAAACAATCTTAGCCGGCGATGATTTGAACCGTTGATAGATTTGCCAGCTACAATCTTCGTTTATAACACTGTAGAAAACTCGTTATGAGTATTGCATGCACTCCGCGTAATATGAACATGATCATTTTTGGCGCATACTTTAATTTGAAAATTATAAATCATTTTAATCAAAGTGAAAGCTTCAATAAATCGCAAAAGATTTGAGAATTTATGCTCTCGCACGCACACACACGTTTCAGTCATGCGATAACATCATCAGTATAATAGGTTTTTGCATGATGCGTGACTTGATCGGGTTGGCTAGCATTTGTGTATATTTTATAATCAAAAAATTATACGAAGTAAGATATACACATTCTATTCTTTTTGGAATTTTTATGAAAAAGATATATTTTTAATTTAGTGTTACATTGTAAATAGCAATGACGACTTTGGCGAATTGAAAAACTTGGATGACAGTTGCCAAACTGTTCCTAAAAAGTAAATTTCGAGCAGTTGTCTATTATTCCAGTGACTATACTGATGTTTGTCATAGAGTGATATTTGGATTCTATTTTATAACGTGCAAAAACGTGCACACGTACGATAAATGTGCATATACGCGTAGGTGCAAATGCTAATAAATACAAGAATGAAAAGGTGGTTTATGACTATATCTTTGTACGGCACAAGCGCTCTAACTTCGTTCGCTCCAGTTTTCCCTTCTCTCCACGTCGTTCATACATGTATACATGTATAACCTTTTCCACACAAAACTTATTTTATACCGTTACTTCAAAGTTTTTTAATCAAGTCCCTATTCACGAGACTTTTTAATAACTTTTTTAATATATATGAGAGAAAGAGAGAGAAATGAAAGTTTATATTATACTTGCTTGCAAACGCTAGGCTCTTTTCTTCATCTCGTTATTTCTCCATTCAAAAGCTTACGAAGTATACATTATAGAGAGAGAGAGAGAGAGAGAGAAAGAAAGAGAAGATGGAAGAGAGAAAGATAGGTAGCAAAAGAACTGAAAGCGCCAATTCTCTAAATTTTAATATCTTTGTTTAATGCAAAATATGTATTAGAATTCGACAATTTAAATTATAATATTGAGTAATGAAGTTTGTGTGTAATTATGTTCCCTTTGTTTCTCATTATTTTCTAGTTAAAAAATAAACCGTCTGGTGAATAATGAATCATTATTCTCGCTGTCACATTTGATGGTATGTAAATTTTTTCTCCGACAAACACACAGAAGATGATTTATACATTTGTTGCGCTCATAACAACGTTGCATTATTGTACGTAAAAAAGAAAAAAGTATTTTCGCGCACGGACAACGTTTAAAACGGCGATTTCCAGTGAAGATTTTACGAACGTTGCGCATATGCTGCATTCATCAGGTTAAACGAACGTATCCTGTATGTAACTCGGGATGTTATGCGATGTACTACACACACAGATATAACGAGAAAACAGATGCAGCGTAAATGGAAAATTGTTGCAATTTAAGAAAGTATCGTATTCGAACAATAATAAATATCGCTATATTACCGTACTAATTGCATTTATGATTGGATCAACTGCAGAAAAAATTTCCATGAGTTAATTGAACAATACATTTTAGTATGACTAATCTATTTAGAAACTTCCATCGACTTTTCGTCACGAATCCATAAAAAAATTCAACTTCATACCATTGATTATATGCAAAACTTTAAACATGCTGGCAGATGTTAAACACACTATAGTGGCAGGCCTTACTTAATTTGACCTCCCCCCATTCTGGCGTATTGCAAGTACTTGAATAGGAACGGCATCAGCAGCGAAACTCGTTGAAGACTACTTTGTTTTTCGCACGAGCTGCCGTGTCACAAAATCGCATTGTGTAAACAAATTCTCTCTCTCTCTCTCTCTCTCTCTCTCTCTCTCTCTCTTTCTTTTATTCTCTCTTCTTCTTTTATGTGCGATGTTTTATTTTTTCTCTCAAGTATCAAGATTACAAGTGCTCGCAATAAACCGGTTAAAATGAATAAGTAAACATTTAGCTTTTCACTGAGGCATGGGGAGTCGTGGGGAGACTATACTTGCATGTACTAATTAAAATGATTGATTGCTATCAATAAGTTATATTAGAGGGATTTGCAGAGATTTTTGAGGAGACTATGTGCGAGACCCTTATACAATCGAAGTGCGAGCGAGTGTGTATTTAGTTAGCACCTCACAGACAGCAAGAACTCTGAAGTGCTTCGCAAAAAATTTGCTGTACTCGCGGACCAAGGGTTTCTCTTGTCATGATAATAATAATGAGACGTTATTTATACTCACATCTTTATGCTCCGAGTCGAGCGTGTCCCACATTGAAGCTACAATTTTGGAAACTTCTCCAAAACTTGCATTTGAGTTTTGACTCTTAATAGCTGCTTGAGTATCCCTGAAGAAGAGCGCATAAGCAGAGACTGGCCTAAAAAAGTAAAATAAGACGAATTAAATATACATGTTTTTAAAACTTAACCATCGAGCTTTGAACTTGTATCATATTAATTTAAAAATTTCAATCGATTAAATTAAATATTACAGATGAGTTCCCAAGTAAAAAAGTTTTTTTTCACGAATTATGCTCGACCCACCCCTTTTTAATTAATATGCTCTCGAAAAAAGTTTGAAATGTTATTTTCGTCCATATTTAGCAGAATTCAATTTCTCTCTTTTCCTTTCCTCTCCCTCTACCTCTATGCTACTCGGGGCAGAGAGCAGCAAAGAGAAGCAGACTAAATACAATTATAATCGTACATGTATATATTCGCGAAGTGCACCAGAAAATGATATCGTTAAAACTTTTAAAAACGTTCATTAAGCGACTTTGAATATCGTAAATTGAAAGTCTGTCTTTCTGTCTCCTTGTGTTGCTTTTCATATAATTTTATACGCGAAATGATGGAAAGAAGGGGCAGCAGGAGAGGGAAAAAGGAGGTAGAGCGAAAAAGAGAAAATAATAATTACGCTCTAATTATGTTCAGAAGAAGGTTTAATTGAAGTTGAAGAGAAGAGTGGGGGTGGAGAGAAAGAGAAAGAAAAAATATCCCTGAATAGATTTCCAGGTTCTTCTTCTTAGTTCGTTTCTTTCAAGTTTTGCTTTGTTTCCGTTACTGTTTTATCGTATATTATTTCTTTGTCTCTTTTATACCTTTTCCATTTGCATTACCTCCTTTCCTTACTTCAATTGAGACTTTATTCCCATCATAGTTACTCTGTAATTGTGAGCAAACCCATTTTCATTCAACGGCAAATGATATTTCAACAACCAATTTCGTCTTCAATACTTTGACGATATGGAAAAATTGATGACTCCTCGTTTAAGGAATTTCCCATTTGCTCAGTGAATGTAAAATAATTAATCCATTAGAGGGAATTTACGTTCATCAGGAACATCAAACGTGTTACGGCCACCCAGAGAGTAATATTCAACATTCTATTTCTCTTGCTTTGCACAAAAAAAGGTACACGACAAGTTCGACGTCATACACACAAGTTTATTGACCTTACAACTTGAACTCGCTTATTCGAGCTACTCGGACGCTCGCACGAGTTTAAAGCGCAAATCTTTTTATACCATCACAGTGACAGTAAGTGTTTTACGAGGCTCTAAAATCGAAATTGATGGCAAGTCCGTTTTTTACCCTTCAGAATAGTGTATTGCGAAATTTCGAATAAAAAATTTCGGTGTAATAATAAATAATAAATCTGTAAATTGACTCAGAATATGAGCTTTTTACGTTTCTTTTTCTATGTAACATATTACAATTGAAAGTTAAAAAAGTTTTTTAATTAAAATTTTTAAACAATAACAATTTGCTGACTGAATAAAATGAATGAATAACAAATATGATATAAAATGTGAATTAGCTCGTAAAAGGCTTTGATTGGAAAAGACAAGAAGAATTGGATCGTCGATTTGAATCAAGATAATTTTACAATGTATGTACAAAACAGAAATGGATCATTAATTTCACCAAAAGAAATCAGCAGGATGTGTATATATTGAACCTTTTTCTTGCTAATAATAGAGCAAGGAAAAAGTGAAACTATCCATAAATTGTCGAGTACTGTATTGTGATCAAACAATGCTATTACCAACGTGAAGTTAAACTTTTTAAGATACCATTATTTTTTCATGTGGCAGTTAGTATGTCTTGTTTTCTTTACTTTTAATTAAAGAAAGATCCTTCTATTCAAAACATTAACTCAAAAAAGAAAAAAAATATGAAGTATTTTGCATTTTTATCGATAATTTACAATATATTTTGCAATGCATATTTTCAAGAAAAAGAAGAGATTAAGAGACAAAGTAACCAAAACACAATGGAAACGAACGTATTAAGAAATTGCAGTTACTTTTCTCTACGAGATACAAGTTTATCAAATATATGAATAAATAATAGAAGTGTACATACATGTTTGCACTGATCTACGGTCATTATCTATCTTGCCGATCTTTTCTAAGACAATGATCTCAAATAAAAATATATTTTTCTCAAATTTAGTTAAACACATATTATACAAAAATGAAAAAATACATCTACATCTATGTTAGCGATAAAAATCCATATAAATACTATTATACATTTAAATATGAAGACTATAGAAGCTTTGTAATTGCTTTCGGTACTAGCTACAGTGACAATTCAACGAATGATATGGATATGCTTAAAAGCTTTACACGTTATTGGTCTGAAAAAAGGGAGATTAAAAAATTATTACAATACCCCGTTACGGCATTAGGCTAAAAGTACTTGAGTGTGTTAATCAACTGCGACAGGTTAATTTTTAATGAGGATGATTTGCGTTTTTCTCACCTCGATGAAAAATAGAAAATTATCGATTTCAACGAGTCTTAATGATAATGTTTGCCTATTTAGTCACAATGACTTTGGAAATGTTCAACAATAACTTTTTATTGAACTGACTTGGTTTTTTTTTCATTATAGCCCGTCTTTTGAGAGAATCCAATACTCACGATGATACAACACTTTTGAGTTTGCCAAAGGTATGTAAGTACAATAAGTATAATGTAAGGCTAAGATAAACTGTATTGGAAGCTATTTCGCCACAATAGAACTATTATTCGCCAAACGGTTACTACCTACGTACGCTACAAACTGAAGGGATTCAAAATTGAGTTAATAATATGTAAACATAAATAAAATAGCAAAGTTTTCTTTTGTTAATAATCCTGGCATCAACGCATAAAACTAATTAGCTAATTATATTTATTATCTTTTTCAACACAAAGTCAGAGAAACTCGTTACTTTTGATCTTTAAGGAAGATTAAGCGGAAGAGGGATGTACGTTATTGTACTCTAAAACTGTCGAATGAAAGTTGCTTATTAAAATACTAACGATGCTATGATGAAAAAAATTTATTTCATGATTGTAGAATGACTAGGTTATTATACTCGTCATATACTTATAAAAAAAGGTTCTCTAATTTAGAAATTATTTTAGAAGGTAAGCGGAAACGACCAAGGTGGTACATAACAAAAGAAAAAAGAACCAGAGATTTTTCGCAACGATTGTAAGAGTTCATAAAAACCATTGGAAGTTTTTCAACAAAACGGTTTCTTTATTTACGAATATACGTGACTGCTATGTAACAAATGTGTGAATAAGCTTTTACAGAAATTAAAGTATTTTCATTGGTCAATTTATTTATTGCAACGTCAAATTATATCTCCTAAAATTTCAACTCTCGAACGTTTTTAAAAAAATGCAATAGTTTATTTCGGTATACTTGACAAAATGTTACAACGCCAATTAAAGTTAGCAGAGTGTAATTTTTCAATTGTAATGTGAATTAAGAACATAGATGCTTACTTTTGTGGTTCATTAGGATCCCGCTTCTTTTTCTTTTTCTGGGTCTTTGGTTTTTTTTGAACTTTATTCACTACGTCAGCTGGCTCAGGCGATGGCCGTTTAAATCCAGCAACCTGTAATTCAAAATTAAAATTTAATTCATTTAAAGTGAGTATAGAAAATAATGTCAAATAATGTCTGAATATAAAAGTCAATAGCTATCAAAGTGAAATAAGAGAACATGCGAAGTATAAACAGAATTCAGCCAGTTCGTGACCTTTAAAACTTTTTGGCATTCGAAAAGCTTTGTTATATTATTATAATTTCGCGAAAACACACGTTGAACGGTGTCGTTGTTTGCAAGTCTTCGAGATAAATAGCTTCATAGATAGGTCAGCCTTGACATACCATCCTTTTTGCTTTATCAGTGCGCTTATTTATATACTAGGCAGCCGGAAAAATACGAATTTACATAAAAGGATACGTGAATACATTAAAATGACTTTTAACAAAAAGTACCGTAACTTATGATAACAATATGATAAAAGATTTTTAGAAAAAGAGAACTATGGTTTTTTAATAGGACAATAACAGCAAATTTAAAGCGTTTTAAATTTATAATAGTATACATTGTTATTAAATGCAGAAATTTTTGTTTATAAAAGATAATTTTTCAACCAACTAAATTTTAATTAATTTCTTCAAATCCGATGGAATACAGATAAAAACTTCATAAAAAGATATATGCTGGCGGCCATAAATGTTCACTTAGTAGATTCAAATATGTAATAAAATAACAAATGCATTATAAATAGCGACAAAATAATGCGTACTAAGTCTTCTTCAAAGAAAATATTTGAAATGACATTCCAAGCACATAACGAGAGTACACGTTATAAAGGTACACGGTAAAACTCGAACATATAATTTCCTTTTTGTTATTTTACTGGAGAATGACTTTTGTTATAAATTCTTTTAACGGGATTTTCGTTGAAATACTCTTATTTCCAATAAAATACGTTAACAAAACTCACTTTACTCCTTTATTTCGCGATCACAGAGGAGATCATATTTCATTTAGAATTTATCGATTAAATTGCAGTCACTGTGTAGTTGGCAAAACTTTGTGAATTCGTATTTCAATAGTTGCAAGACAATCTTTTTTAATTCCCATTTTACAATATTAAATAAAGTATTTCAAAATAAAACGTATGTGGAAAATCAGCGTGTACTCGTACTTACAAAAAGTACGATGCAATGTAATTTATAAAATAATTTCTAATTCAAAGTTAATGAAAAAAACAAGAAAAAATGAGAAAAAAGGGAATTTCTTCAAAAAGTTTTTTAGTTCAGAAAATTCAAAGTCTCAAAGAATTTAAATGTAATCTTTTCTAAAGTAGTTTTAAAATAAAATAATTTTAAAATAAAAAAAAGAACATGAAGCAATTCATATCTTTAATATGTTCAATTCAACTTTCATGTAAACTTCATGCTGTAATCAAAAGTACATCTTACCACAGCAGAATGAGGAGTACTGTCATCGCTGTCTTCGCTTGTTGTTGTATTTTCTGGTACTCCAGTAGGTGTCATTGTTGGAGGACTGCTGCCCGTCCTATTCATGGCATACTGTAACTGTTGCTGCTGTTGCATATGTTGAGCTTGTCCTCGTTGTTGTTGTTGCTGCTGCTGTGAATGCATGTACTGAATGTGTTGCATCTGTTGTTGTTGCTGTTGTTGCTGCTGCTGTTGTTGCTGTTGTTGCTGCTGCTGCTGTTGCATCATTAACATTTGTTGCTGTTGGCCGTTGTGCTGTTGTGGATTTTGTGGTTGAGGCTGCTGTTGTTGATTAGCGGCATTCATCGACGTGTAAGTATTTTGAGGATTGCTGTATGATGAACTGTAAGCAGGAATCGTACTAATAGGTTTATGAAATTAATCAGATATCCGAAGCCGTTATCAAAATATCATAATGAGTGTACGTATTTTACGACGCTACCATGGAAGCGATTGATTTCATTCAATTATTATATTTCGTAAAAAATCTAATCGTTCAATGCTATGCGATGTTGACTGAAAAAGATACTAATAAATTACGGAAGAGTAGTTCAAAATAATCAAGTTACGTATTTCAAGGGGAATGAAATTGTTTTTTTGCATCAATCTACTTCACTAGCTCGCAACAGTTGCAGCATTGGTAGTTGAAGCGGTTCACAAAATATTTACGAATTCAATATTTCATTGGAAACGAGATTGACTTGGGAGAGCAAGGAAAACAAGAACAAAAGAACAGCTACAACAGTACAGATGGAAAATTCAAAATCTCAAGGGGTTGTCAAATATTCATTCAGAATTTAAAAGCCATCTCATGCATCGTTTTATAAAGCAGTATTAAATGAAAAAAAAATTATACAATTTTTGAATATTATCTTTTCAATTGATTAAATAAATTCAATACATCAAAATGTACTCAATACAGAACATGCTCATAGAAAAGTAATTGTTTAGTACACGTGAAGTAATAACGTGGACTAAATTAATAAAATGTGTAAATTAGAAATTTAATTAAACGTCAAATTGGGTTTTAGACTTTATTATAAAATGGACATCCTCTGCAGGTACTTGAAACCAGTAAAAATTATAATTTTAATTTATTCAACGATTATTGATTGATATCGTACATTCAATTTTCACAGCGATATATTTTCCACTTACAAAAACTTTATCGCAGTTCGTATACCGTTTCTAGTTGAAATAATATGCAGACTAAAATTAGTTTCTCCGAGTTTTCCGAGTTCATGGGATGTGAGATGTAAATTTTAAAGAGTCATTCAACATTTATGAATTTCCTTATCAGCTCATTTCTCGAGCAATCTTCATAAATATTTCTCCAAGTTTAATTTCAGTTTAAAAAAGATATTAATTAGTACTAAAATGGTTTTAAAAATCAACATTTATAGAACAATCATACGGAAAAATTCTATGTTATATTTTTAACAAATACATTTTTTACGAAATGGAAATGATGATTGCATTAAAAATAGTTTTGAAAATTACAGGTCCACGAGTTCTATGATTAAAGTTTCATTCTTCAAATTTCCGATAAAAGCAATAATTTTACATTACCCACTGAACGTAATTGTGATTTTCATCTGACATGATTCAAATTCCTTTCATAGCAACTTTAAGTTCATTTATATTTCTGACCATTTTGTGGGATATTTTTGAAAACTAAAAAATATAAAACAACGCAATAAAAATTTTCTTTCTGTTTTATTTTGTGCATGAAATGACTAAGATTATTGTATCTTATTGACACTGCAATACAATGTAAACCAATGTTATTTCGATTTTTTGCATGGATCAGTCAGTCGAGAATTTTACAAAGGATCACCTTAGTATTCTATACACAAAAACTTTCTGCCGTCAGAGGCCGGATGAAGAAACGAAACGATTTATCTTAATCGTATCAATCTGTCACTATATCTGACACATGATTCCGCTTCAATTTAGCCACTGCAGAAGAGAGAGAGAGAGAGAAAAATAAAGTACGAGAGGGAGCATAAAATCGAAATGTCATTATCAAAATATAAAAAAGATTATAAATAAGCTCGATCAAATCGATGAAAATAGAGGTTATTATAAATAGGTTAAATAGAGGTTATCCCCAAACGGTTAACTTTGTATTGTATTTATGAAAAAATGTACAAAGAAATAGTTAATCTAAATAAGTTGTTAAGTATTAGCCATGCTATAAATAACAGTAATTTAAATTAGTACAAACAACAACAAAATTCTTAATCTTGTAAATAGTCAATTTTATTTCAATCGATAGTGATATAATGAGCATTTGTTCCTTCAGAGGCATATCATAATATGCAAAATAAATTCTTTTTAAGAAATATGCTATTACATACATATGTCAACTGTGTAAGTATTTTTTGTGCAAAAAATGTCTCATATTTTTATGAACTACCTTGATACGGAAAATAAATTGTACTTGCAACAACGCAACTATTTAACTCTTAAAATTTTCTCATGGTAACGCGTATATAATAAGCAAGAAGTACTGTATTCTCATATAAGAGTCCACATGTCATACCTGACGTTGATCGACTGCATGCCATGTTCCTGTTGTAGATAGAGGGGCTGCTGATATCCACCGGGGTCGAGACTCAAAGCGTCTGGTGTTTGTTGCATTCCACCTCCTGGCATCATCTGCAATAAAAAAACATAAAAATTCCAATATTATAAACATTACTCAACTATTTAAAAATATAATACGAGTCAGTATGATGAAATTAGCGAATAAAGCACAACAAAAAGTTATCCGATGAAATTAAGTGAGCCGTTTAATTAACAAGTCAGAGAGAGATATATTTTTCAACGTTACTTTGTGGGTCGTTTAAGCTATATATAGTAGCACATGAGTCCATATGACGTGCTGGTGCCATTTCGAAGACGTGTGATACACACGTAATTTTAAAAATCATCAATTAGTCTACTTTTCATAAAGATATTAAAATCTAGCTCAAATATATGTATGCTGTATGATTATAATATAAATGCCTCGGCGATTTATCTTACTTAAGAAATAAAATACTTGATTGCGTTTTGCATGCTGCTGCTTTAACTATATACAAAAAACTTATACAAGTAATTAATGGGCACACGAATTGTGCATGCATGGAAAGTAAGATAAATTGCTTTGAGTGATACGTTGAAAAACTTTATTAAAGTTCTCATCTTGTTCTTCTTTTCATTATTATATGTATTCACAAATTAACATAGTATTACAATATCAATAATTTTTTTTTCTTGTTACTACGCAATTCCAAACATTTAATGCTATATTGATAATCGTGATATCACATTCATATTTATCCTCATAGATGTTGCTTTGTATTATTATAGTAGTATGATGAAAAATAGGTCACTCATGATTGAAAACTTTGGATATCCCTTTTGAGAAATTTCATGATTTGAAATAAGCGAATTGATATTAAATGCATATGAATGTGTGCCATTGATTTTCTTGAGAATAGCACTAAGCGAAAGAAAAAGATTTAACACAGCTAAAACACAGTACTATTGAAAGTTTACTAAAAATTCTTCTTGGTCGATCATTTTATATCCGATTAACCAAGTTGAGAAATTTTATTACTGAAGCTGCTTGATAATTTATACTCTAGATTTTAATTAAATTGTCAGTTCAAAACTTTCTACAATAAATACTTACATTCATATTCATTTGAATACAAACAAGTTAATAATAATGACCAATCCCCGCATAAACGAATTGAATGTAGGTGATCAAATATTCAAAGACACTTTTAATATAAAAACACCCATTTTTAAATTTTACTCCAATCATAATTAACATTTTTAATCTTGCTTCTGAAGAATATTTTTTATTAAATTTCGTTATAATCAACACAATCGAATGGCAGTTTAATATAAGTAATGAAAAATGTTGAAAGAAAGAATCAGATGCAGTTTCAAAACTAATGTCATTAATATAGAGTGTAATGTCGCGTTACATTACATGGTTGTGACATTTGATTACATCAATAGCGTTTAAAATATATGCGATTTTAGTATCGCTTGCAATGATCAATGTCGCTATTTGATTAGTCTAACAAATTAATCAGCTTGTAATGAGGAAATTCTCTTCTAGCATAATTAGTTTCATAATAATCTATTCGATTGTAAAAGAGACAATAACATTTGAAACTTTTCCTCGTAGCATTTATGAATGGATATTTTTCTAATGCTATCATTTTTCACCGATAAACGTCTGTTAGATTTCTTGCCCGAATGCATTTTCGATAATTTATTTGCCATTATATGTACATTTTTCAAAAATTGGTCAGTTAGTGCATGCGCAAAATGTTTGGGTAAGGTATAAATCTTGATTTGTAAGCCAACGATCGAATTGATCGCTGTTATCTTGTAAAACTTTCTAAGTATAAACTTTCTAAAAAAATTTGTGGTTATGAATCGCATGCTTGAATACGGTTGTTTTTTACAGCTTGAGTAATCCTGACTTTTTCAAATTAATTTTAATGTTCTATTTTTTACATCTTCCTGTAAAATGATTTCGCTGAAAAGATAACTTTTATAAATCCGATATCACGATGAATTTCATCTAGAGCAGTTCGCTTTTTCATATTTTACAGGGTATAATAAATTCATACCAGCTAAGTAACAAGATGAGACCTTATAAAAATAGATCTTATAAATATGTCATTGCGTTCATAATATCGTAACATAATTTTTTCTTGGCAATATTTTCATTTAATTAAGCATCGTTTTTAAATATAAATTAGATTAAATATTTATATCATAGAATTTTTTCACATGCTACCGAAAATAAGAGCAGGAATGTGTAAGATTAAATTTTTCCAAATAACTGTTACTTTGTATTCAATATAAACGTCTATTAAATTACAATCGATTTTCATTTATTTTTACTGAGAGATATAAATGTAAGTATACATAAATTCATTGTCCTGCGAATAAGAAACGATTTTGTTTTCTTTGCGTTTCAATTGAAACAATATGTAAATCGATACTCCTCAACGATATTTGATACTTTAGTGCATAGACTAACGGCTGTAGGGGGTCCCGTTCGTAAAGCTTTTAATAACATCGGGAAATCAATCTTTTTTCACATCACGAATTAAAGTTTGAAAATAACATGATCCACAAAGTCTTTGATGCGCCAATAGAAAAAACACAGCTTGAAAATATGAAGAATTTTGTTTGCTGCTAAAGCATGCAAAATCAAAAAAGTAAATAAAGACGAGAGAGAGATGACAATTTCTGGTACGTACGCGTATATGTACCTGTGACTGGTAACCATGATGCATTTGATCGTGTTGCTGCTGTTGTTGTTGATGATGCTGCTGTTGATGGTGCTGTTGATGCTGTTGCTGCTGCTGTTGATGTGGATGAGCATGCATAGCAGGGATATCAAAGTCTTCATCTCCAAAACTTGGTGTGTGAAACGTCTGGAAATGCAAAAATTTTTATTAATATTGTATTACAGCCAAGAGATTATAAAATATTATCTTTTAAAAAAATTCTTTATGAAAAAATGTTTTTTTTTTGGCTACAAAAACTGACAAAAAAGAACCCAGAAACCTTTAAATATAATTTAGACGCATAAAGGGATAAGAAAAGCTTGTTTAATGAGCAGTTCTTAATATCTAAGTTTAAAGAATAAGAGATGAAGTTCATCGCTCACGAAAAGTATAAACGAGGGGATGTCAGTCAAAGTCAAAGATCAAATCGGTTTTTTACAAGTACCTCCTAAAATGTATAGTCTTTTCTTTTGTTTTTTGTTTCATAAACATATTATATACTAAACATGCTTATACTTTTAAAAGAAAAAAATATATCAATTTTTAGTATCGCTTCATCGTCAGTGCTGCATCAAATATAAAGAAATATGTATAACTAATCAGAAACATTTCATGTCCTAGCTTTTTTCAATTTGCTTAATCATCTTACTTGGGTAGTAAACTTTTTGTAGTTAAGTCAGATCAGCTCATCCTTACTTGCAATAAGTTGATTTAAAACGTAGAAAAGAAAGAGGAAAATCATTTTTCCATTTTTTCGTTTGTATATATACAGGGATAAAATAAGTATTTACAGATTGCTTTTACTCTAGCTAATGGAAAACGAGATTGAATCGTAAAATTAATCAAACGTATACATACTCTATGTCTCCCTGTCGGCTGATTGCTAATTAAGTATATATAAAGTTTGAAACGAGAGAGAGAGGGTGAAGTTTATCACGGTATGAAATATCTGCTTGGAACTGATCGAATATTCTAAGAAATAGTCATACTAATTACTACTATTTGAAAGAAGAACGAATTAATCCAACTTCCTCCCATTCGCGACTTGTAAATAATCCTTAACAAGACGAATTTTAAATATAAGTAGAAAATGTTCTATGAGCCACGAAACGAGAATACCCGATGCATTGAGTAAAAAGTATTAATAACGGAAAAAACAAAAACTAATTACACTACAGGATTTTAGAGCATGTATAGTAGAAACTCCATTGACCATAAAGAAACTTGAAAATTTGTGGAGAGAGAAAAAATGTTGAAACGTCTGCAGTGACATAATTCTCAAATGGAAAAAGTACAGGAATAAAAATAAAACAAGCATCGCTAAGAAGAGGGAGAAAAAGGAAGGGGAAAAACGAGTAGTAGTATAAGCTGGGAAGATTCGATGGAACGAAAAATTTACGATGGGTAAAGAGAGCCATTTTTCTTTACCAAAGAAGTAACCAAGACTTCACCCTCTATCTATTTCTCTTTCTCTCTGCTTCTTTCCATCTCGTTAAAACTTGTGCTCCAAAAAGTATCTTCTTGCATCACGTCTCTTTTCACGTGGGAAATATTATTTTGATGGTTAATGTTAATCTTTAATGTTTTTTCACGGCTTTTCACGTTGATCACCAAGTATTATCGGCAAGTTGAACACAACTTGTAAAATGCATTTCTTCGTAAAAAAATCGTTTTGTCATAAATATTTTTTTATTATAAATATTGAAATAATGCATAATCTATCGAATAAACATCGTGTATATGAAAGGATTTTATAGAATCCTGGGGAATGTTAAAAACCTATTATTAAGCAATAAGCAAATTTTTGCAACATTTCCTTACGTGCTCAAAATACTTTGAATGTACAAGGTTTCATTTTATTTGAATAGTTTTGAAATTCCTCAACGACTTGTGAAGACAGATTATGCAGTTTTAAAATAATATTTCAACATAAGTATAAACAACTGGCCTTATTTGATTATCATTAGACTGAGCCAATGGTAAATGGAATCTAAATATTTACGTTACATGGAAAAAGACTACTTAGCGCGAAAAAGCACAGTATTCAATATGTTGTAAAAACAACGTCGAATAACTCGACTACTCAATATTTCATACTCATAGAGAATAACCTTTCTAAAAATAATATACTGTCTATGTAGTGGGAGCGAACTTCTATTCGATGATTCAGCTCAAGAGAAGCGTGAAAGCCAAAAAAAATATTTTTACAGGTGATGGTATAGCTCCAGCGACCTTAGCTTAAGCCCACGCTTTAATATCACATTATGGGCCTATGTTTAACGACATTTAGTTGAAAATTATCACGAGCAACACTAGATAACTTTACGTTATTATCAGGAGTGGATAAGTATAACGTTTATTACAATATTAAAACAAAGATCTGATTAATACAGTATTGGCTTGCAATGATGGGTAAATTCATCAAATGAAGAAGCAAAAACTCTATTTCATTATCATAAATAGCAGCTGGACTCTTTTTGTTGGATAATGTTAACAATAAAATGTTAAATTATGATTTTTACATCGATCCTTCCTGGGTCTCTCGAGATAAAGCGATAAAATATATAGTTGACCTAGTTCATTGATATTACTCTTGAAATCAAATATCTGAGTGTAAGAGGGAAAGTTACAAAAGTTACAATAAAACGTTAATAAAATCGAGATTGAACATTGCAAACGTTATTTATAACAGTAGTATATTAGCTATAGAAAAAGCAGTATAGCAGCTCGAAAATTTTTCCAGGCAATCTTAAGCTGCATGAATTAATATAAATAGTAGTGCGTTGTTGATACACAGGACTTGGGCTAACCAAATGGAACTAGGACTCTGTGAAATTTATTACGTTATTAAAGTCCGTATAAACTGCATCAAATTGTCCACAGTCACATTTCGCAAGCATCAGATTATCTCGTAAAGTATAAACAACCAAATTAGTTATGCGTTTGTTCGCTGAGCATTTGCACTAATAATTACACACGCAATCCTTGGTCTAAAATAGTACCTCATTAGCGTTTTTTGCCAAGCAGATCTTTTCACTTTCCAACGAATTCATTGCTATTCACTTATAACTATTTTATTTTTTGCTACATTTGCATTATCTCTCTCTTTCTCTCTCTCCATTATATTTATTAAATGGACTTTATCTTTAATCACACAATTCCACCGAGCAGTAGATAAAAAAATATTACAATTTTTCAGAAAATCCAACGTTTCAATTAAAGCTTCAAATTTATGAAAATTAATATTTAGAAAGTTCAATTTTCTGTAATTAGCTGAAAAGAGAGGATAACACATGACTTCACTTTTTCTTTTCCGCTGGAGTGATATACGATTGCCAAAGATGCATGGATTTATTTCTATCTTAACACCTTTCACTCGATTATTGGCACGAAAACCCAACTGCTAAAATAATTCATACGTCAGTGTTTGAGAAAATTCATCGATTATTCAACGAAGTTTTAATGAACGAATAATCTTAATGAATGCGTTTTGCAGTTACAATCAACAGAGTGTTAAAACGTAATATTAGCTCGGAGCAAGTTTTAATTAATTTACACATGTTTTAAATATTATTTCGAGTTGATGGTAAATAAACTTTTAATAATCTGTGTAAGTTGAAGAGTAATTTTTCGGTTAAATCATTTAGCTTTAAAATTGTTTTAGTTCGTAAAATGTAGCAATTAAAAAACTTTTATTAGATTGAACAATATATATATATGTATACATGTATAAATTGCGAAAAAAATATCTAACGACTACAATAACATGAGTGGGTAACATGGTATTTTTTTAGTCGCTTGGTGTACGTTTATATACACAGTGCAATGTTACGGGACATTACGTCACTATATAGGCCGGTCTTTATGAGGTCGTTTCACTTGATGCGTATAAAAGCAAGCTCATCTAATTTTGCAGAAGTTTTACGACAACGATCCGCCTATAAGATACATAATAAAATATATAAATATATATCTACACGAGCTAGTCAGAGTGTGTGTAAATATGATTAATAGATTAAAAAAAAGGTTTCTACGCTAAGGAATGAAAATCGCACTTGATAGAATAAACTATCACTGATAAATCTTGAAATTACATTATTTTAAATGTGATTAATAAAGCGGTAAACAAAATTTAATTGCTATATGACTCAGAGATGTTCAGAGCTAAGCTGAGAAAAAAAATGTATTCACTGCTCTACAACAGATGATTAGAGCAATTAATTTAATTTCAGCACTGATGTAGTTGCATAGAGTGAGTGTTTCATCACTCTAATGAAATGTATGTTTTATATGTGTTTATTGCGAGAAATCCATTTCGTGTTAGGTTGAACTAGCCACAGTTAAGCGTACAGCATACACTCTCGATTCATTACTTATGCTTCATGGCGGTTTTAAAACGTAATACGTACAAATAAATTACATCAAAGAGGCATCAAAAGATTTAAGTACACGCACACACACATATTTTCAAGTGTGTGTATGCACTTGTGAGAGTGTATGAAAAAAAGGCTAATGGAAAAGTAACGTTACAACGACTGCGAGCAAAATAACTTTGCCAACTAATGGGCAAAATTACTCAATTTTCAAAGTAACGTAGTATAATCATATTTCAATCAATTTGGAGGCAGATATATCGCTCGCTTGGCAATCACTTTTCAGTATCGACACAAGATTTTTTGTTTTATCATCGACAAATGAGAGAGATATCAAATCAATGAACAAACATTTATCGAACCAATGGAAAAAGCAACTAGGCTGCGCAACCGAGTGAAAAAACGAAAATCAAAGATAGGTACACAATAATAATGTTATAAGGTTGGCAATTATTATTTCTGGCGTATGGAGGGTAATTTGTTTGGTGGCACATGGAAAATATTAATACAGCGTATAAGATTAATATGTGAGTAATGTGGACTTCAATTAGTTTTGTTATGCAAGTTGTCGAGAATACAAATTGCATATAATTAGGGGTACATGCAATATAATTCATGCGTACGGCAAACGTATCATTATCGCAGAAATTGTCAACGAAGAAAAAAAATGCTAAAGAAAATCAAAAGCTTCATCGGATTAAATCGTCGATTCTTCCACATATTTACATCGGTATAATGAGAAGTTTTTTGCAAAAAGAAGAAGTATTTCCTCTGCATTTCATGTTAAAAATAAAATTATAATATTGCACTGCACATCCACTTTGAGAACCGACAACAAATCCCGTTTTTAATACATACTTGTGAAAGTATAGTGGCATTATATATAGCCAAATTACGTAATGCAATTCAAGGAAATAAAATTTGATGCTAATAATCAACGATAACAATCGCGATAATTTTTAGCAGCGGTAGAAAAGAATGTGCACACAGTAATCGTAAAAATGAATTAGAAATCAATAAGAAAATGGTGTAGATAGTGGAGATATATAAAATGAGCCTTATAAATATGGATATACAAGTGCATGGAGACTGCACAAAATTTCACCTAAAAGTGCGAGTAGAAAACGATAATCCCACGAGTACTGTACGTATGCGTACGCGCACATATGGGCAAGCGAAAAAAAAAATAAAAAAGAGCAAAATATAAGCAAATGTGAAAAAGAAAAGAAAAGCAAGCAAAATAAGAAGATGTATCAGTGGGAAAAGAGAGAAAAAAGACAGCTAAGAAAGTGTGTAGTTGTTTCGATCGTTAAAATACTGAAAATTATAGCCTGCAAAGTTATTTATTGCGGATTGCCAATTATCTGAGAGCCTTAGATTGCATTGACTGATCGAGCCTCTCTATATATAGCGATTCTCTCTTTCCTTATGTGTATACCCTCTTCTTCATCCTATCTCTCTTTTTCCTTCATTCTTCACACACATACACACATAGCACAACTGCACACATGCACAAGGGAATTTTTGCTAAGAACAAAAAGAAGACTGGAAGAGATATGATATTAAATTCAACGTTACGAAAGATTTCTCTCTCTCTCTCTCTCTCTCTCTCTCTCTCTCTCTTTCACTGTATATTATATGAGCATAAAATCGGATTTTAAAAAAACAAGTTTTACGATTTAACGTAGGCATTTCATTGTGTTGGTGCGTGTATACGTATGTATGTACTCATATACATAAGAGCTTGCGCGTTTATACATAACTAATGCAGCGTCACGAATTAATGTTAAGTCACTGCTGCCACTGCTGGTTGATATTCTTTACGTTGTATACTGTTCTTGGCTTTATTATCTATGGATGCACATGTTTTCTATGATATTTTGCAAAATGCATGAAAATTTGTATATTTATACGTTTTCCCGGTATTCACTTTGCGAAATGAAGTCGAAAAATAACTTTTTTTTTATAATTCGGAAATAGACGTGAAAAAGCATTCACTTAGCTTATTATTTTTCCCTCAAATGGATGAAAAAAGAATAGAAAATAAAAAAATGGGGCCACACAGAAGTGCCGAGTGTAATAAAAAGCATCGGCAGGGGCAATATATATAAGAACAAAATGTTTTTCAGCGACCGAATAAAACGAGTTGGCACGCGAAAGTACAGTGCATACTCAAACACACACGTACCCCTTAGCTGCTATAATATAAGAGCGGCGCTATGCATGTGTCTGTGTGCACGCGTGAGTGACGAGAGCTATCTTCATGAAAGATTCAAAGTCGTTACTTTGATTCGCGATTCTTATCGCCTTGCAACTTTTTTTCTTATAATATGCGTGTAAAGGTTTTTTGTACCAAATGCATGTGAACACATTTCAACTCTACGTCCTTTATACCCTTTTCTTTAAAAGTATTACCCTTTCCCCTTTGACATATCTATTGAATGGATCTGAATTTTTGGAATACATGCAAAAAATGCTTTCATTGATTAAACTTCGCGCTTCTCGACAAAAGAAAATAATTTAATTTCGTCGAACAGAGAGCAGTACAAGCATAGCAGTAAACGTCGAGTCGCGTTTCTAGACCATGAACATTTATTGAAATAGTATTTTCTATTTATGTTTTGGCCTGTATTGCAGGTAAAATATAAAATGGCAAAGTATTCGCTGACATTATTACAAAAGACTGACAGTGTGTGTGCCTGTGCGTGACTTTGATTTATTGACAAGCGCGCAGAAAATAGATGGATTATAAAACATCGTTAGTATTATACATAACTAAAGAATACTGTGTTAAAATAGAGTTCGTATATGTATCGTTTGTATTCAAGCCACACATGAATATTCATGATTGCATAAAGATATAAAAGTACAAAAAAGCTAACAGCTCGCTGCTGTTATTAAACATAAACGAAATGAATATTGCATACTTTAATTACTGTGCTGAAAATGGAAGAAGAATAACAGAGAAATGAAAGAGAGAGAGAGAGAGGGGGGGGGGGAGAGAAAGAAAGAATGAATAAGGGAGAGAGAAAAACGAAAAAGAAACATTAGCGAACTAAATAAACCGTGCGAGTGTTAATGGCTATGATGCAAATGAGGGTTTCAGCAAAGAGAATAAGGGATGCAAAAGAAGTGAAAATAAAAGAGGAAAAAAACTTGAATAGTTTATTTCCTCGGGAATTATTACAATTCTTAGGCAGATTGTATAGATGCATCAGTAAAATTCTTCCATGTATGTGTCACTTTTATGCGTCATTAATTTCTAAGAATCGACTAAATAACGATTCATCGCAAGAAGTATCAAGAAATTTTTAATCAAAGCCTTACGTTTTTCATCCTGTCTTCATGGATCAATTACGCACGAAGTACTTGATTTCGAAAAAAAACTCGAGACTTGTTTCTGATGTGAATAATTAATAATTAACAGTGATACTTGTTTTTTTATGTTTTATTTTTCTTAGCACCAGAAAAAAAATTGGAACATAAGGTAAAAGTAAAACAAAGCTAGATGAAAAATAATTTAATAATTAAAAAAAAATTACATACCTGTTCAGCCATATTGTAGCCGTCGTGATGATGTTGATGATGATAGGACGACTGGATGTGCTGAGGTACGTTCAAGGATAAATCCAGGTTTTCACTCCTCTGTAACAAAAAGAAAAACAAAGTGAGACAACTGATCAATTTGTTTTTTTTTTCAATCTACATCCTCCCACACATTTTGAACGATTCATTAATTTATATTTCGCGCACGAACTATATATGTACGCACACGCATAAGCAAAAGAGATCGTAATCAAAGGGTCTTTTAATGGGAAGGTTGGTCCTTTGCAGATGCAATGTATTTATTCATTGATTCCCCCTGTATACGTATACATATACAATATACACTCCCTTTAACCTTTGAAGAACGAATCTCATTATATCGATAATTTTAAACTCTGGTGTTGCTTCGAGCATGGGTAGAAGAAAGAAGGAGAGACTAAATGAACGCGAGCTTAATGAAAGTGTGTGTTGAGAAGTATACAAATGTGCTGGAATTGTAATTTGATATACTGTTAAAACCTTTTTTCGGCCGTTATAATTTATTAAGAGAGGATACGTAAGTACACACGTATGAACACGCACTTTTATAAGTTCGCATAACTTCAATTATTTTGATGGTTAATTGAGCCAGCAACTCAGAGATGAGAAACGGGGTATATGTATTACGTGTATGCTATACGCGTGTGCGCCCTCGTGTGTGCATATCTAGCAATAATTGCTGATTCGGGATATAAGAAAGAGACAAAATAATATTGAATCAATAAAATATGACGAGATGGGATTGTGTGCTATCGTTTAAATTGAATCGACTAATGGACGTCGTTTTACTTTTTTGTTTGCTTCGGTCCTTTAAATGAGAAGACTTACATTCCAATTATTGAATCTCGTGACCAACTAAAGCGATGAACACACACTTCGAATACTTCTCAACTACTCTTGGCTTAATGTTACGAAAAAATAAGAATAAAAAAATTTGTAGCTGTATTTTTTGATTATGTATACTCGTGGATAACAATTCGTGCGGCATTTATTAACTACAAGCTGTCTGCTAGATTGAAAAAATGAACGTGCAAGATGTGAAATAGAAAGAGTTACTTTTTTCTTTTCCACGCTGCATGGCATATCGATTAATATTAATGTGTACTACATTGTAAAACGTGCAGACAATGCGAAATATGATGTGAAAAGAGTGAAAAAAGAAATGACAGTCAATTTCGTCATACGCGTGTACGTGTACACACAGGAGAATATTGCATAAAGTCGTAAGTTACGATGACATGCTTACAATAATGTACAAAGTCAACACGTAACATGACATGCATTTTCGACAGTAAAAATATTATATTCAACTGTATCGTTTGTTTCTATCGGTCGTTAAATTAAATAATGCTCTTTGGCCTCGGGACGCGAAAGAACCCTAAAATTCGCGCTTATGGTTTCATCAAAAGACGCGAGGAGGTTGAAATTAGAATCTAAAGTTCAACCGCCTTTAATTCAGGACGCCGACTGAGCTCATCGTTCAAGACGATGATATCGAATGTCGTGTTCTATAAGTAGAATCGACTCAAATTCTAAGCAGTTAGCACCAAGCACTGGTGTATATCGCGCGAAGCCTTAAGTCACGCGCAGAATTGGATAATCGAATGCAAGTCCGGAATTAGCTTATATCCTGTACTTGAATTAACCAATTTCTTAATAATTTGAAAGAATGTCTAATGAAGGTTTTCTCTGGTGTCCTGAGCTTTGTCAGCCAGCATCAATCATACAAACATTGAGTTTTGTATTGTGCCTCTGCGTTTCTTTAGTTTTCTTTGAATGCGTTATGTCAAAAGGTGCTCAAAGCAAACATTAGCGCGTCGCGAGCTAGAGAGAAGAAAGAGAGTCAATATATGAGTCATTTCACGTCAAGTCTCCTAGCGCGGCGCCCGCGCGGCATTATTAATCGAAATTGTTCAATTTGTAACTCGCCAGAAAAGCACCTAAATGCACCCAGAAAAAATATGTGCCATATGATTTTGATAGGAAATTTCCTCAGCTTTCCGATGATGAGGTCAGATTTTCCAAAATTTTCCATTTTCCCCGGAAAAACTTGACATAAACTTTCAAACTCAAATTTCTGAAAAACGGCATTTTTAAGATTTTTTTAAATAGTGCCATTAGAAAGCTGAGGAAATTTCCTATCGATATGCAAGTTTTCAGAGAGTACTTTTGATAATTACTCAATGAAATACAGCGACGAACGTGTAAAAACGTGAGATTTTGCGCCGCGCGGGGTACTGCGCGCGGGAACAGCTGCCGCACGGGCCGAAATGTCACGTTTTTACACGTTCGTCGCTGTGTTTCATTGAGTAATTATCAAAAGTACTCTCTGAAAACTTGCATATCGATAGGAAATTTCCTCAGCTTTCGATTGGCACTATTTAAAAAAATCTTAAAAATGCCGTTTTTGAGAAATTTGAGTTTGAAAGTTTATGTCAAGTTTTTCCGGGGAAAATGGAAAATTTTGGAAAATCTGACCTCATCATCGGAAAGCTGAGGAAATTTCCTATCAAAATCATATGGCACATATTTTTTCTGGGTGCATTTAGGTGCTTTTCTGGCGAGTTACAAATTGAACAATTTCGATTAATAATGCCGCGCGGGCGCCGCGCTAGGAGACTTGACGTGAAATGACTCATATGCGTGCAAAGAGGGTGAAAGAGAGATAGAAAGAACGTCATAGAAGCTGTAAAGTACAGCTGTTTCTGAGATCGTAAAAAACATCAGTACACAGACTAACGCACACTCAGAACCAATCAAGTCTTGTGAATATATATCCGCAAGCTGCGTTCTTATGAAATGAGTTTCAGAATATTTGTCGTTCTCTTTCTCTCTCTCTCTCTCTCTCTCTCCCGCCCCTTCGGTCTCTTCCCCCACGACTAGCGTGTCGCTCTACTCCCTCCCTCGAGCTTCTCCTCTCCTCCGTGTACACCAGCTTCAGGGGAGTTTGATGAATTTTCTCATTACATGCAACATCCAAGAACGTCGAACTTTGTACTGTTGTCGTGTATGTATGTATGTACACATTCCGCGGGCGCAGTTTAGTTACGTATAGTAGTTGTTACTGTTTCTGCTGTTTGGCCAAGCTCGCGCGCAATTACTCGGCTTCATATGTATATTCCATTAGGACGACTGTTGTCTGTCGTTACGATTTCGGACACGCGTTCTCTAGAGGCCGGCGCAAGCCGCTCGTTCGATAAAACAGCCCGACACCTGTATCCGGTTGAAGCAAAAGAAATTATCCACGGACAGGACTTAATTTTCCGCGCGCAGAGATGGCAAAAAACTTGGCACCTCGACGCAGTGCGTGTTTTTTGGCACTATGCACGGTGCCTAAGAGATGGCCACCTTCTTCTCGAGGCAAAAGACATCGTCTAAATAAGCAAACAACGACGAGTCGACAAAAATTTCCGAGAGCCGTTAACGTAGCATTATAGAAAGTGCATCGTTTTTACAAAGAATCTGAATCTTGGATGTGTGCACGGGTCTGTGCGAATAACAGGGACGAACTGTTGGGCGGTTCGCGCGAAGACTTTTATCGATCGTAATGCCAGAGTGACTTTGTCGAGATTCATTTTTCGTTTCAAACGAGTTCCTATTCGTACGAAACGTCACTTAGGATCGTATCTCTCGTCTGGTGATGGACTGCTCGCGCGTATCTTTAGTCTGAAAAGTTTTTATCTCGAAATAGAATCGATTTCGCGATGTTGCAGAATATTTTCCCCCATATCCTCTTTTATGTACGCGCTGCATGTATATCTACACACACACACACAAACTCGATTATAAACGCACACACGCATACGGTTCATCGTGATCATGCATTCCCTGCGCACAATGGAAATAATGTGACCGATTTTTCCAGTTTGCTTATACAAAAATACACACAAATAAACGCAGACACACTACTTGCATGCATGCGATTCATATAACCTTTGCCATTTATTACGTTGAGCATGCATTACCACGTCGCGCGAGTGAGTCCGTTTCAAAACGACCTGATTTTTTTGGTTACTTCAAACTAGCTTATTGTTTTTTTTCCCCTCGCACGGCATCGATCGTGCGAAAAAGTTTTTCGTTCTGCTCGCTGAGAAATTCTCGCGCCTCAAAATATTGTGTGCCGGCTTTATATTTCAAAACTGTTGCCAACGCGACGCGATAATTTTGCATTTCCATTGTTGTAATATACTTGCGCGCACGTATGAAAATATCGTTAAAAAAATGAGCTTGACTTGCTCAATCAAATTTAACGTATGCGCTTTCAATTTCAATTGCAAATTAGAGGGTATGATTATAAACTTGAAATTCAAAAGAATGAATACAAAAAAGAGATTATATTTCATTCTAATTGAGTTCGCGCGCAAGTAATTAAATACCGTTGTTATTATCTTGGGGATGTGTACAGTCGAATTCGCGCCGAGCCATACAAAGCGACAAGCAATTCGAATTGCAAAATATACAATTTAAATTGCTAATTGCCGGCCTCAGAACTCGATAATAATTAAATAAATAATAGCGCACACGTAGATTTTATTATATTCATCAATTATACGATAACTATTAATTGAAAAGATCATTTCCTTCGCAATTCACACATCGCAGCAGTTACGTGCGCGGCAGAAGGCTAAATTAGAAATACTTTTTCATCTACATGTTTTTATATATGTACAATTCTATGCACATTTGCGTCGATATTTATACAACAAAATAGCGCAGTTGGCATCAATCTCGAGTAATTATTTATAACGGAAAAAAATAAAAATTGTTCATCAATCAAAAATACAAACCATTTTTTTCTCATTTTTTCTCAAATAACGTATAGCACATAAATTGAAATGTCATTTTAACATGTGTACGTCGTTCTTTCCTGTATATTACATCTCATTAAAATCAACGAATACGTATGTTCATGTAAATGTATAAAAATAATCATCTTATAAGCATTCATTTATTTTTTTATATAATACGCTTATAAACTATAGTCTCAATTTAATTAACGTCACGTCATGTTAATGTCATCTTTCTCGAGACCGAATTAAATTAAGTTTGAGTTACTCTTT